CCGTGGTCCCCAATTCACGTCGCTGATGGAGAGCCTTCATGGAGAAGCTGGAAATCACGGTCAGCCTCACATCCGGGTACCAGCCTCAGACCAACGGGCAGGTAGAGAGGACTAACCAGGAGCTGGGGAGGTTCCTGAGGAGTCACTGCCAGGACCGGCAGGGGGAGTGGACCCGGTTCCTTCCCTTGGCGGAGTAAGCCCAGAACTCACTTTGTCACTCCTCCACCGGGCTGTCTCCCTTCCAGTGAGTGGAATTCACCCATGTCTTAAAACGCTGACGTCAAGATCCATATCTTAATGACTTACTAGTTGTACTCAAAATTATGAAATGGGCATAAATTGGGTTAATATCTCTCCAGTTTGTCATGCAATGACACACACATGCACACAGACACACACCAACTTTGAAGCTATTCATCAATTGTTTACAAAGTCTCAAATTACAACAAAACAAAACTCATGAAACATAAATAACTTATATTATTCAAGAATCAATGGGTATACTGAATCTGATTTACAGTAATATCATTAGTTGACATGTCCATTAAGCAGTAGCCTATTGAATATTGTAGCCTAGGCCTACCTAACGAACAAAAAAGCAACGTTGTGTGGTTGTGTGTACATTGGGAACGAAACAGAAGAAAACGTGTCGAAACGGGGTGGGACTAACCTGATTTTGTCCAATAAGAAACAATTGTTTTTATTTTCTGTTGCAGAACTTTTTGCTACGTGGTGCACTAATGAATAGTGCAAAACAGCGATGTCTCACAAACTCTAGTCTAGGCCTACTCCATTTGATTTGACAGAGATAAGAACGAGGTAGGTTATTAATATATGTAGCCTAGTGATATGAATTTTAACTTAAACCAAATGGGACTATATGGGGGTGAATGTTTATTAGGCTACTTAATGATGCTAATTTTGCTTTACTGATGTTTCCAAAGACTTGTTTGCAGGATTTCAACTAGGCCTACAGTAGCCTACTTCAAACCAAATGTTTTTCGAAACTGCAAATGTATATGACATTGATCATGTATTATCTAGAGCAGTTAGTGTTGCAATATGCATTTGTGTCCCATACAAAATACAAAAAAATATTGCAGTTTTGAAACTGCAGTAAAAGTGCAGTAACTGCAGTCGCCTGTGGTATTTTGGACGCAGTAATTGCAGAATAACTGCGGTGTACTGCAATTGAACTGCAGTTATACTGCACTCTAACTGCAGTTAAACTACAAAATGACTGCAGTCAAAAAAATATGTTATTTTGGATGCAGTATTTGCAGCACTCAGCAGATATACAGCACTCTAACCAGTGGTGGAAAAAGTACCCAATTGTCATACTTGAGTAAAAGTAAAGATACCTAAATAGAAAATTACTCAAGTAAAAGTGAAAGTCATCCGGTAAAATACTACTTGAGTAAAAGTCTAAAAGTATTTGGTTTTAGATATATTTAAGTATCAAAAGTAAATGTAACTGCAAAAATATACTTAAGTATCAAAAGTAAAAGTAAAAGTATAAATAATTTCAAATTCCTTATATTAAGCAAACCAAACGACACAATGTTCTTTAAAAAAAAATCTACAGATAGCCAGGGGCTCAATACTCAAACATCATTTACATATGAAGCATTTGTGTTTAGTGAGTACGCCAGATCAGAGGCAATAGGGATGACCAGGGATGTTCTCTTGATAAGTGTGTGAATTGGACCATTAACCTGTCCTGCTAAGCATTCAAAATGTAACAAGTACTTTTGGGTGTCAGGGAAAATGTATGGAGTAAAAAGTACATAATTTTCTTTAGGAATGTAGTGAAGTAAAAGTAAAAGTTGTCAAAAATATAAATAGTAAAGTAAAGTGCAGATACCTAAAAAAAAAACGACTTAAGTAGTATTTTAAAGTATTTTAACTTAAGTACTTTACACCCCTGACTCTAACGGCAGTTATACTGCAGTGTACTGCAGACATACTACACTCTGACTGCAATCTTTTTTCGTAAGGGGTGTGTTTGTGTGTAAACACATTTTGATTTGCAGGTGGGGGAATTATTGAGATAAAGATTCTGTGGTGGTAAATTATGATAAATTATGAATGTGTTAATACAATGCAATTTAGAGGACATACCGCATCCACCAGAGCTAGGGTTAAGCAAACAGATGCTATGGACCAGAGCTAGGGGTAAACAAACAGATGCAATGGACCAGAGCTAGGGTTAAGCAAACAGATGCTATGGACCAGAGCTAGGGGTAAACAAACAGATGCTATGGACCAGAGCTAGGGTTAAGCAAACAGATGCTATGGACCAGAGCTAGGGGTAAACAAACAGATGCTATGGACCAGAGCTAGGGGTAAGCAAACAGATGCAATGGACCAGAGCTAGGGTTAAGCAAACAGATGCTATGGACCAGAGCTAGGGGTAAACAAACAGATGCTATGGACCAGAGCTAGGGGTAAACAAACAGATGCAATGGACCAGAGCTAGGGTTAAGCAAACAGATGCTATGGACCAGAGCTAGGGGTAAACAAACAGATGCTATGGACCAGAGCTAGGGGTAAACAAACAGATGCAATGGACCAGAGCTAGGGTTAAGCAAACAATGACTATGGACCAGAGCTAGGGGTAAACAAACAGATGCTATGGACCAGAGCTAGGGGTAAACAAACAGATGCAATGGACCAGAGCTAGGGTAACAAACAGATGCTAATGGACCAGAGCTAGGGGTAAACAAACAGATGCATATGGACCAGAGCTAGGGGTAAACAAACAGATGCATGGACCAGAGCTAGGGGTAAACAAACGATGCTATGGACCAGAGCTAGGGGTAAACAAACAGATGCTATGGACCAGAGCTAGGGTTAAGCAAACAGATGCAATGGACCAGAGCTAGGGTTAAGCAAACAGATGCTATGGACCAGAGCTAGGGGTAAACAAACAGATGCAATGGACCAGAGCTAGGGGTAAACAAACAGATGCTATGGACCAGAGCTAGGGTTAAGCAAACAGATGCAATGGACCAGAGCTAGGGTTAAGCAAACAGATGCTATGGACCAGAGCTAGGGGTAAGCAAACAGATGCAATGGACCAGAGCTAGGGGTAAACAAACAGATGCTATGGACCAGAGCTAGGGGTAAACAAACAGATGCAATGGACCAGAGCTAGGGTTAAGCAAACAGATGCTATGGACCAGAGCTAGGGGTAAACAAACAGATGCTATGGACCAGAGCTAGGGGTAAACAAACAGATGCTATGGACCAGAGCTAGTGGTAAGCAAACAGATGCTATGGACCAGAGCTAGGGGTAAACAAACAGATGCTATGGACCAGAGCTAGTGGTAAGCAAACAGATGCTATGGACCAGAGCTAGGGGTAAACAAACAGATGCTATGGACCAGAGCTAGTGGTAAGCAAACAGAACTAAAACTAACGTAAACCTTTGTAACCTGTTAGCTGTTAGTTCTGACAGCTGGGGAGTAGACGAGATGACCCCTGACCTCTGACCTTGCCACAGCATCAGCCAGCTGCAGTCCTCACAACACTGCTCTGGTCTGGTTGGACTGTTGTGAAGGCGGACAGAGGAACTGTGTGTGTGTGTGTGTGTGTGTGTGTGTCTGAGAGCAGGATCTTCGAGGATAAGGACGGCACAACCACAGACACACACACACCACTGGGAGGAGCCAAGGCGGTCCAATGAACCAATGAGAGCCTAAGGAGAGGATGATTGACACACCGAAGCCCCCCCCTCCCTCCAGCCACTGCCAGTACTGTGTCCAATAATGTGTCAGGCTTTTCCTCTGTCAGTCTGCATATAGCTGCAACCAGGACATAACCTCAGTCAGTGACTCTGCATAAAACTGCCATGTATGTATGAGTATGTTTGCTCTTGTGCCCAGTGTGTCTGGGTTAACAGTGTGTCTGGGTTAACAGTGTGTCTGGGTTAACAGTGTATTTGAGTTAACAGTGTATTTGAGTTTACAGTGTATTTGCTGTTACATTGCAAAACTATGTAACAGAGTTTCAGGAGCAGTGCCCTCTGTGTGTGTGTGTGTGTGTGTGTAGTGTGTGGTAGTGTGTGTAGTGAGTGAGTGAGTGAGTGAGTGAGTGAGTGAGTGAGTGAGTGAGTGAGAGAGAGAGAGAGAGAGAGAGAGAGAGAGAGAGAGAGAGAGAGAGAGAGAGAGAGAGAGAGAGAGAGAGGAGAGAGAGAGAGAGAGAGAGAGAGAGAGAGAGAGAGAGAGAACCCAGTGCTACAGTGCCAGATGTATTGAAAGAAAGGAATCCTCTTTGTTAATACTGGTTTTTTAATCCTGCTATGTCAAAGGGTGAGTTCCTAATGGCACCCTATTCCCTATATACTATAGTGCACTACCAGGGCCAGGGCTGGTCAAAAGTAGTGCACTATATAGGAAATAGGGTACTGTTTGGGACACTGGCAAAGTTGTAGTAAACATGCTCTCTCCTTTTTTTTCTTCCTCTTTGTTCTCTAACAGGCAGTCAGGCAGGCAGTAGTTCTATTCAAGTTCTACTAGCTTCTGTTCATGGTCTACTAATTCTAGTCAACCCAGATCAACACAGTGAAGTCTGAGGTAAACTAGCTGCAGGGGGTTCACTGGCCTGAGGTAAACTAGCTGCAGGGGGTTCACTGCCCTGAGGTAAACTAGCTGCAGGGGGTTCACTGCCCTGAGGTAAACTAGCTGCAGGGGGTTCACTGCCCTGAGGTAAACTAGCTGCAGGGGGTTCACTGCCCTGAGGTAAACTAGCTGCAGGGGGTTCACTGCCCTCATTTCTTTCAGTGCTTCATATTTTGGCGCTAGTCCCGCCTCATCTCCCCTTACTTTCCAAAAATACCCCTGGGGCCGAACGGGAGCACCGATGGTCTGGTCAGAAATTGAAGGACCCACCACCTCTACTACCGAGCTTCACCACCCCTCTGACCAGCAACACATAGTCCCATAGGAGGAACCCGAAAGTGAACCAGGAAGTAAGCGGCAGCAGTGGCAGCAGAGAGCATGCTGGGATGTGGGGGTGGGGCCAAGCTGCGCCACAGTTTGACGCTGGCCTCGGGATTCGTTGAAAACCTGTGTTTCTCGGGGATAGCGTATGGCTGGGCGTCGCTGGTGTTCATCCTGAAGAACGACGGCTACTTCAGTGACCTCTGTGACATCACTGCCAACGCCACTGACCCCGGTGACATTATCGCGCTGTCAGGGGAGTGGCCTAGCGATAGCATCATACAGTCAGGTGAGTTGTGAGCTCGCACGCACGCACACACTTCTTCTCTCACAAACACACACAACCTCTTTCTCTCACACACACACCACACACACAACACACACACACACACACCCACACACCCACACACACACACACACACACACACACACACACACACATACACATTTACAAAAGCTACTGAAACTCACAAAAGCTCTCTCCCCCATCCCTCCTCTCTCTCTCTCTCTCTCTCTCTCTCTCTCTCTCTCTCTCTCTCTCTCTCTCTCTCAGACTGTAGTAGACAGGAGACAGGATGAACAGTTCTCTCCCCCATCCCTCCATCTCTCTCTCTCTCAGACTGTAGTGGCCAGGATGACGTCTCTCCTCTCTCATCTCCTCTCGTCCCTCCTCTCTCTTCTCTCTCTCTCTCTCTCTCCTCTCTCTTCTATTCTCTCTCTCTCTCTCTCTCCTCTCATCTTCTCTCGTCGTCTCTCATTCACTCGTCTCTTCTCTCTCCTCTCTCTCTTCTCTCTCTCTCTCTTCCTCTCTCTCCTCTCTCCCCTTCGACAGGCTGAACCGTTTCTCTTCCCCATCCCTTCATCCTCTCTCTCTCAGTCTGTAGCGGACAGGATGAAAGTTCCTCCCCATCCCTCCATCTCTCTCTCTCTCAGACTGTAGTGGACAGGATGAACAGTTCTCCCTGGTCTTCACCGTCGCCTCCTTCTCCATGAACTTCCTGCGTTTCCCTCTGGGCTTCCTGTTCGACCGCTTCGGCACCATGGCGACAAGGCTCCTGGCCATGTAAGATTGTTTTATTATTGTTCATATTTTTTATTGATACCCATCATTTATTTTCGGGGGTCAACTAACTGGTGAGTGTTGTTTTTGCAACAATGGCTATGGCCGAAATAGCACCCTTTTCCCTATAGTGCACTACTGTTGACCAGAGCCATTGAGCCACTAGCAGACATTTGATACTGGCAGTTAAACAGGTCAAAGGTAGGAACATCCTCACTGGGCACAGACGTCAGTTCAACGTCTAGTTTTGATTTACATTTGGTTGAGTTGTCAACTAAAAAAATCACCATGTCATTGGATTTGGGTAAAAAATATGAAATGCCCTTACGTTGCCATCTTGATTCAACATCATCACATAGATTTTTTGGCTTGAAATTATGTGGAAACAACATTGATTCAACCAGTTTTTGCCCAGTGGGTCAGTACTTAGTTACAACAGATAATTATAGACTAACAGGCTTAATTAAACATGGTTAACTCCTGTTCCCCTTCCCCAACGGAATGCATCTGTCTGCGTCTTGCCGCACATACAGTCATGTTTATTACATATCAATCCATATCAACAGTAAATCAAATACAGGAAAATAATTACTCCAATAATCCACTGACAATGATGATGATGGTGATGATGGTATTATTAGATCAGAGTATATATACTGTATATATACGGTGCCTTCAGAAAGTATTCAGACCCCTTGACTTTTTCCACATTTTGTTACATTACAGCCTTATTCTAAAATTTGAGTAAATTGTTTTTTTTCCCCTCAATTCCCTCCTTTACAAACCCCCCAACGTAAATGCAAACACAGTTCAACTTTGGGACGAATGATATAAGACCGTTTTCCTAAAAGTCTGTTTGTATTTGATCAATGACTAGCTAACAATGCTAACTCCTCAGGCTCATGAAGAAACATTGGTTTTATCTGAAATGGCACCTTATTGCCCTGGTCAAAAGTAGTGTAGTACACTTTAACTCTACCCACATGTACATATTACCTCAATTACCTCCACTAACCTGTGCCCCCACAAATTGACACTGTACCGGTAACCCCTGTATATAGCCTCCCTACTGTTATTTTATTTTACTGCTGCTCTATAATTATTTGTTATTTTTTACATATCTATTTCTTTACTTAACACGTATTTTTCTTAAAACTGCGTTGTTGGTTAAGGGCTTGTAAGTAAGCATTTCACTGTAAGGTCTACACATGTTGTATTCGGCGCTTGTGGCAAATACAATTTGATTTGATTTGATTTGGAATAGGGTACAAATTTGGATTAAACCAATTCCCTATATAGTACACTAGCCCTGGTCAAAAGTAGGGCACAGTTTAGGGAATAGGGTACACAAGGTCTGAAATGGTAAAGTATTCAGACCCCTTGACTTTTTCCACATTTCATTAAGTTACAGCCTTATTCTAAAATGGATTAAATCGTTTTTTTCCCCCCTCATCAATCTACACACAATACCCCATAATGAACGGAAATATCACATTTACATAGGTATTCAGACCCTTTACTCAGTACTTTGTTGAAGCACCTTTGGCAGTGATTACAGCCTCGAGTCTTCTTGGGTATGACGCTACAATCTTGGCACATCTGTATTTGGGGAATTTCTCCCATTCTTCTCTGCAGATCCTCTCAAGCTCTGTCAGATTGGATGGGGGGCGTTGCTGCACAGCTATTTTCAGGTCTCTCCAGAGATGTTCGATTGGGTTCAAGTCCGGGCTCTGGCTGGGCCACTCAAGGACATTCAGAGACTTGTCCCGAAGCCACTTGTGCGTTGTCTTGGCTGTGTGCTTAGGGTCATTGTTCTGTTGGAAGGTGAACCTTCGCCCCAGTCTGAGGTCCTGAGCACTCTGGAGCAGGTTTTCATCAAGGATCTCTATGTACTTTGCTCCGTTCAGGTTTCCCTCGATCCTGACTAATCTCCCAGTCCCTGCCGCTGAAAAACATCCCCACAGCATGATGCTGCCACCACCATGCTTCACCATAGGGATGGTGCCAGGTTTCCTCCAGACGTGACGTTTAGCATTCAGGCCAAAGAGTTCAATCTTGGTTTCATCAGACCAGAGAATCTTGTTTCTCATGGTCTGAGAGTCTTTAGGTGCCTTTTGGCAAACTCCAAGGGGGCTGTCATGTGCCTTTTACTGAGGAGTGGCTTCCGTCTGGCCACTCTACCATAAAGGCCCATTGGTGGAGTGCTGCAGAGATGGTTGTCCTTCTGTAAGCTTCTCCCATCTCTACAGAGGAACTAGAGCTCTGTCAGAGTGACCATCGGGTTCTTGGTCACCTCCCTGACCAAGGCCCTTCTCCCCCGATTGCTCAGTTTGGCCAGGTGGCCAGCTCTAGGAAGAGTCTTGGTGGTTCCAAACTTCTTCCATTTAAGAATGATGGAGGCCACTGTGTTCTTGGCGACCTTCAATGCTGTAGAAATTGTTTGGTACCCTTCCCCAGATCTGTGCATCGACACAATCCTGTCTTGGAGCTCTATGGACAATTCCTTCGACCTCATGGCTTGGTTTTTGCTCTGACATGCACTGTCAGCTGTGGGACCTTATATAGACAGGTGTGTGCCTTTCCAAATCATGTCCAATCAATTGAATTTACCACAGGTGGACTCCAATCAAGTTGTAGAAACATCTCTAGGATGATCAATGGAGCTCAATTTCGAGGGTCTGAATACTTATGGAAATAAGGTATTTCTGTTTTTTATTTTTTTATTTTTGCAAACATTTCTAAAAACCTGTTTTCACTTCATCATTATGGGGTATTGTGTGTAGATTGCTGAGGATTTTTATTTATTTAATCCATTTTAGAATAAGGCTGTAATGTAACAAAATGTGGAAAAGGTCAAGGGGTCTGAATACTTTCTGAAGGCACTGTATCTCTAAACCAACGTTATCATGACACCAAACCATCACACAACTACCCATGCTCATACCCTCCTTCCCTCCCTCCCTCCCTCCCTCTCTCCCTCCCTCCCTCCCTCCTTCCCTCCTTCCCTCCTTCCCTCCTTCCTTCCTTCCTTCCTTCCTTCCCTCCCTCCCTCCTTCTTCTTTTCTAGATGTCTATACACCACTGGGACCTTGTTGATAACTGTCTCCAGTCCAGGTATTTTTTACAACATACTGAAATGTCGGTTAGTGTGTCTAGACCTTTGGTCTTTTATTGACATTTGATTTTTTTATTGAGGAACTTGTTCTTTGTCCTCAACCCCCCCCCCCCCCCCCCCCCCTCCTTCTCTCTCACACACACACACACACACGCACACACACACACAGAGCAATCAGCGTTGCTGTTTCCTGCCATCTCGTGCCTGATCACATCTGGAATGTTGTTCTACACCACCAATGCTCAGGTTGCTACAGTCTGTCATTTCAATGTCATGACATGCATTTGGTCAACAAATGGTCAACTAGTGGTAAACTAGTGGTCAACTAGTGGTCATCTCTGTACCTCTGTATTCTTCAGGTGGGGAACCTGTTCGACAGGCAGCGTTCCACGGTCATATCGGTCTACGCAGGGGCCTTCGACTCCTCCGCCGCTGTCTTCCTCATCGTCAAGGTAACACAGCATCTTCCTTATGACTATTCCTCAATGTGGGACAGGTTTACTGGGGGGGTTACACAGTTGAAAACCTCCTGACTTCCTGACTATTCCTCAATGTGGGACAGGTTTACTGGGGGGTTTACACAGTTGAAAATCTCCTAACTTCCTGACTATTCCTCAGTGTGGGACAGGTTTACTGAGGGTTTGAACTGTTGAAAACCTCCTGACTTCCTGACTATTCCTCAGTGTGGGACAGGTTTACCGGGGGGTTTACACAGTTGAAAACCTCCTAACTTCCTGACTATTCCTCAGTGTGGGACAGGTTTAATGAGGGTTTGAACTGTTGAAAACCTCCTGACTTCCTGACTATTCCTCAATGTGGGACAGGTTTACTGGGGGGTTTACACAGTTGAAAACCTCCTAACTTCCTGACTATTTCTCAATGTGGGACAGGTTTAATGAGGGTTTGAACTGTTGCACAGTCAGCACCTGCTGTTTTCAGAAGGGACTAAAACAATTCAAATGTACCATCTCTAGATGAAACATGAATCCAAACGGTCATTAATAATCTGACCTTTTACCTTGCATGCTTTATTCTATTCTGACAGATGCAACCTTGGCTCAGGTGAAAACACTAATGATTGAAGTAATCACTGATAATCAAAAGTGGTGAAAAGTAAGCTGTATATAACCTCTCCCTCTTCCTCTCTCTCTCTCTCTCTCTCTATCTCTCTCTCTCTCTCTCTCTCTCTCTCTCTCTCTCTGAAGTTTCTGTATGAAGGAGGGGTCTCGTTCCATTCCTCCTTCCTCATTCTCTCTGTCTGCAGCGTCATCCACGTCTTCCGGACGTTCTTCCTCATGCCCAAGACCCACATCCCCTACCCACTCCCCGACGGATACGCTTACGGGTCAGAAGAACTACGACTCCCACGATGCACCACCACACCACACAACCAGACTAACGGTCACCATGGTGACCGACCACCGTGGAAGCCAAACAGGAATGTTGTTGCCATGGTTATAAAGCAGTGACTCTGACTCAGCTCTTTGTGACAGGGTGAACTGCGGTGGCTGGCGGTGGAAGAGAGGGGGAGAGAGAGGGGGAGAGAGAGGAGAAAAGGAGGGAGGAGGAGGAGAGAGAAAAGGAGAGGTGAACGCCAAATATCAGAAGAATACTGGGTTACAGAAGGCCGAGAGTGCCCTGCTGCAATTGCAGGACAAAGCAGGACCTTTCAGACTCGATCAGACTGAAAGAGGTAAGAAACCTGGTCATCCCAGTCAATTAAATTAAATATAAAGGGCTTTATTTGCATGAAATAGTCCTACATTTTGAAAATGTTAAAAAAGCACTGAGCAAGTGAGCACTGTCACTCACTCACAGAAACCTCATACACCCACACAAGCATCATAGAATATTGCCCCGACCAACACCCAATCTCTGTCCTCCTCCCTTCCTCCATCTCTCTCTCTCTCTGTCCTCCACCCCGCTCCTTCTCCCTCCTTCCACCCCCCTCCTTCTCTCTCTCTCAGTGGCCAGTTTTAGGAGTTGTGTCCTGTCCTGGTTCTTCCTGTGGCACCTGGTCTGGGTGGCTGTCATGCAGTTCTGTCACTTCCTGTTTATCGCCACAGTGAACCCCATGCTCAACCGGCTGGCCAACAGAGACCAGACCCTGGGTAAAGACACGACAGAAACACAAATACAACTATTTTTCTGCCTCTGTGTAGACTACTTCTCTACTTTAGTGGTTATCAATGCTGTTCTAAAACCCTCCTTTCTCTCTCTCTCTCCTCCTCTCTTCCTCCGCCCATCTCTCTCTCTCTTTCTCCCCCCCTTCTCTCTCTCTCTCTCTTTCTCTCTCTTTCTCTTTCTCCTCCCCCCCCCCCCTTCTCTCTCTCTCTCTCTCTCTCTCTCTCTTTCTCAGTGAGTCAGTACACCAATGCCTTTGCCTTCACCCAGCTGTGTGGGGTCCTCTGTGGTCCCTGGAATGGCCTCATCATGGACAGACACAAGGGGAAGCCTCTGGCTCCAGGTGGGTGACATCATAGATGTTAAGGGCAGGTGAAGGTGTGGGCATCAGAATCAGAATCACCTTTATTCGACAAGTACATTTACACATACTCAGAATTTTACTTGGTGATATGTTGCTGCTAGTGACAGACAACATTTAGAGATAGAATACAGACAGCAGAGTTTAAACAAAGTTTACCTACATTATATACATTATATTATAAACTGGGTGGTTCGAGCCCTGAATGCTGATTGGCTGACAGCTGTGGTACATCAGACCGTATACCACCGGTATGACAAAACATTTATTTTTACTGCTCTAATTACGTTGGTAACCAGTTTATAATAGCAATAAGGTACCTCTGGGGGTTTTGGTATATGGCGTTGCGTCGTGCGTAAGAACAGCCCTTAGACATGGTATATTGGACATATACCACACCCCCTCGGGCCTTATTGCTTAATTAGGTGTCGTTAGGCGGCCATTTTGTGAAGTAGTCAGGTCTGACTGTTGGTTGTGGATCTGCAGTTGCACGTTGTGATAACTGTTGACGGTAATAAGGGCATTATAAGTTGATTGATTGGTTGGTTGATTAATTCAGATGGTCAATAAGGCCTGGAAAAGCTAACAGCTGTAGTTAAACGTGGGATGCATTTATTTAAAATACAGTACATTTACATTTTAGTCATTTAGCAGACGCTCTTTACCAGAGCGACTTACATGAGCAATTAGGGTTAAGTGCCTTGCTTAAGGGCATATCGGCAGATTTCTCACCTAGTCGGCTTGGGGATTAGAACCAGCGACCTTTCGGTTACTGGCACAACGCTCTTACCCACTAAGCTACCTGCCGCCCTGAGGGTTTGAAGACAGTAGACCCAAGCAACAAACAGTTGAAAAATGAAAGACGTTAGTATCCCAATCAACCATTCATCCTCTCCCACCTCTTTCTTTGTATTTCCCTCCCTTCCTCCCTCCCTCCCTGACACAATCTCCCTTCTCTCTCCCCGTCTTTCTCTCCCCAAAGGAGAGACGAAGCAAGAAGCCGACCTGCGCTCCTCCTCTCTCTCCCTCTTCCTCACCTCCCTCCAGTGCCTCCTCTTCTACGTCTGTTTCTCCTCTCCTCTCCTTCCTCTCCAGTATCTCACCTTCATCCTGCAGGTCCTCAACAGTGCCTTCATCTATGGTGGACACCAAGCCTTCCTCACCATCGCGTACGTTCATGCTGTGTGTGTGTTATGTCTCCTATCCTAACCCCCCCCCCCGCCATTTAACCCTACCTCTACCACCATTACACCTAACAAAAGAAAACTCCACTAGTCATCCGTCTATCTTCTTCTTCTACTACTTCTACTTCTTCTTCTTCTCTTCCTCTTGTCTCTCCACCAGGTTTCCCGGCTGCCATTTTGGTAAGTTGTCTGGTCTGATAACATCTCTGTCAGCTGTGGTTCTGCTGCTCCAGTTCCCTGTTCTACACCTCATCAGAGAGTTCCTGCATGGAGACCCTATCTATGTGAGTCAGACAGTCAACTTCTTTAACCTACAGAAAACAGCAGGGGGCCTCATATATGTGTAATGACCTAGGGTTATATACCTTTGAGTGTTTCCCAAGCCTCTCATCGAGTACCCACTGTTGTTGTACGTATTTGGTGTATTCCAGAACTAGCACAACTGTTTCAACTAGTGAGGGGCTTGGTGATTACTAGATTGATGGAATCAGATGTGCTAGAACTGTAATACATCAAGTAAGTAGAATGGCTGGAGTACTGGAGGAGAGGTTTGGGAAACGGCTAGACCACAGGCTCTGCACAAGGGGGGCTCAATATTTGTCTTCTTCTTCCCACCTCTCCTCTCCTCCAGGTGAACGTGGGTCTGACCCTGCTCACCCTCCTCACTTTCATCCACCCCCTCCACGTCTACCTCCACTGCCGCTCTCTAGCCAATCAGAGGAGGGCTAGGGCCAAACAGGAAGTGACAAAACTCCGGGTCAAAGGTCACATGCAACAGGCTGGTGGTGGTGTGAGGACAAAACCCAACAACAGCAGTGGTGCGTCTCAATAGTCTAAAGTCGCTTCCTCTCCTTGTCTCCTTTCCTTAGACAACACTGACCTGATTAAACTGGACAGGTGGAAAACAGGGTCTGTGTCCCAAATGGCACCCTATCCCCTACATAGTGCACTACTTTTGAATGGGCCCTGGTTAAAAGTAGTGCACTATATAGGGAATAGGGCACCATTTGGGACATAGTCAGGTGCCTCTGTAGGATGCCTTCCCGTCGCCATCTTGCTTTCACCTGTCCGATGTAGGCGAAGGAGAGGAGACGAGGAGAGGAAGCCTTTTTAGACTGTTGGGATGCATCCAGGACAATGGACACTACATCATGGACAATGGCACTGAATGTTTAAGGCAGGGCAAAGGAGGACAGTGCCAAAGTGAAGACCTACTGTAATGTGTGTGTGTGCGTGTGTGTGTTAACCTGTCTGTTTGTAATAAAAAATACAACCCAACTGTGAAACAACAAAGTCCAAAAGTATAGTTTCATTGATAAGAGTTTGAATGGTGAAAATATAAATCACAATGGGTTATTTAAGCCAGCCTGTAGAGCAGTTCTCAGCATGAGCCCCCAAATGTATCTGCAACTCTCTCATGTACTTACGGTAAATTGAATGAGACGTCATCACGTCATGTTGCATTGTTATTATTGTAGACACAGGAACAGGGATTTGGGGTTTAATCTACCCAGCCAAGTGTCCACTTACAGGCCACAGTGTTTAAACGTATTAAAAATCAACATAGTTATTTTGCCCTTCAAAAAGTGCCAGTATCAATATCTAGCTAGCTAGTTAGTCTATTCTAGCTAGAATGTCGGAGACCGTAATGTTTCAGACGCAGTTGTCGTCCATCATGGAAGCTCTATCCACCGCCGCCATGGCGGAGATAACCAAACTAGTGGACCAGTACTCCGCGTTTTTACGCGCGGAACTGTCACGGAAAAAACACGATAACGAATTATTGATGAAAAAGCTGAAAGTGGTTGAAAACCGGCACCGGACAAGGACCTCGACGATTGAACACGGCGGGGATGGAGTTGGCGCTGTGCTGCGGGAGAGACTTTGGAACGGGGGTTCCCTACCGCACCATACGCCCCGTACGTGTTTATGTATTTCATTTTTTTTAAAATAGTGCTTTTAAATCGACAGTCGAACATGAAGTAATATGGCCCCATCTTTTTCAATGCAGCAACCAACAGAGAACAAAAGGCCGACTCAGTCTTTACGCAGCAGGGGTGCAGCAGCGAGTGGAGTGATGGACCCGCGGCGCGGGCGGGAGTAAGGACGGACGAGGTAGTGTGGGTGCTACACACATGCCACTTATTTTGTTTTATCAGCAGTAAAATAGGTTATCATGGGCATGGCATTGATATTATTTTCAGCGGAATTATAAGGAATAATAATTGACATAATGACTGATAAAACATAGCTTATAATAGGCTAATAGGCTAGTTTAGGATAAAAGTAATAATGCGTTACACAGGCATACATGCAGGTAAGTGTTACTGTAATTCGCCTCCCCTTAACAGTGCATTGATCACACTGCCACTGTGTGTCCCGTCTGTCCGTTCACAGACCACTGTAACAGACAATACGGCTGAACCAGTGACCATCAAACAGGAGAGACTGGAGGAGGACGTTCCAGGGGAATATGGTGCTCCAAATGAACTGAGGATGAATGGTGAGAGAGAGAGAAAAACAACGTTTCCATCCACAGTTTTTATGACAGCTGTGATGGAAGCAGGAAGTTTCGGTACAATTTTATGAATACCAACAGATAATTTGTAAGCTCGACATGGCGGGATCTTTTTGTGTCTGTAAAATTAATTATGCAATAAATGCGTGAATATTGATATAATAACCATCATATCGAAGTAAACTTGGGATCACGCGATGATATGGTATGTGCTCCTCCCACTACGACTCCGGAAAGCATTACGTTTATTAGGCTACAGATGAAATAAGTTATGATGAACTTCACAGGGTGGTGAAAGTGCAAAGTGATCTTGGTGCTCCTTTCCGATAAATATCAATGGTCTGATTCTGGTGATGCTTGACTGTGGTTTGACAAATATTCTCGCTCTTATCCATAATAATGCAGGTTTAAATCTTATTTCCTGCAATTCTACACATTGTCTAATGGGGTGCAGCGAACATCTTGCAATTCTATACATTTTGCCATGTCTAATGTGTATTCATGTGATATTTGAGTGACTCAACAAAATCTATGGTCTAAAAAACCTATCAAAAAAATGTTTAGTTGATCTGGACATTTCTGACAAGTTATAAATAGCTCTCTAAGGTATGCAATGACTAACATGACAAGAGGAACTGATGATGCACAACCCAATTAAGAAATTGCACCTTGTGCATTCTACTATTACAAGTTGAAAGCCGGACCGAGTTCCTTTTTTAAATCCACAACAAGTCTGTTTGGTGGAAACACACCACTGGTGGGAAAATTTGTATATTTTCTTTACGCAGATTTTACAATATTCACATTAAAATCTGTCGCTAATTGGATGGAAATCTAGCTACTGAGAGAGAAGGAAAGAGATTACATAAAATGAGGGAGGAAGGGAAGGCCAAGTTGAAACATCCAGCCAGCCCTGTAGCAAAATGCAATATTACATGATGATGGTGATGGTGGTGGAGATGATGGTGGTGGTGATGGTGGAGGTGATGATGATGTGATGATGATGATGATGGTGATGATGATGACATTGCCTTTTGTTCAATATCCCCTGTTGTCCCCTCTCCTGTATGTAAGCTACTGAGCATTCCACCACCTCACTGGTCGCCCGGCAACCACATCCCGATGATCAGACCAGTTTTGAGGAGGACTGGGGGTTCCAGAGTACACCACCAGGGGGTAGAGATGAACTCACTGACTCTATGGAACACCACGTAGAACTGGAACATAGAACTATGGAACACCATATAGAACTGGAACATAGAACTATGGGACACCATATAGAACGAGGACATAGAACTCTGGAACACCTAGAACTGGAACATAGAACTCTGGAACATGACCTCAGTAGCAGCTCTCATTGCCTGGACCAGGACCAGCCTGTAGTAGTGGAGGAGACCCGCCTCAAGAGGGAGCCAGAGAGCCCATGTCCAGACCTCAACCCACTACCGGGAGGAGAACCAGGCCTGGAGGTCAACCAGGGGGATCTGGGCCAAACGTACCCCGAGTATGCAGCACTGAACCTGGAGTACGGTGGCTACACAGACACCTCTGGTCTATTTTTCACCTACTCGTCAGAAAACCAACTACAACAACACACTTCCTCCTCAACGACGACCACAGACGATTACACATCGTTACCGGGGAAATACTCCATCACCGTCATGCCTGGTCACCATGGAGACCAAAGAGGAAGTGGTGGGACTGTCAGAACTCGAGTTCCCCTCAGTAAAGAGAAGGAGGGGAGGTTCGTATGCAAACATTGTGGTAAGGGTTTCCCCTACATCAGCTGCCTTAAGCGGCACGCCCTCAACCACACGGGAGAGAGGACGCATCACTGCTCCGTGTGTGGGCGGAGCTTCATCAGACCGAGTCACCTGAGGAGGCATGAACTGCTGCACACGGGGGTCCGACCCTTCGCCTGCGCACTCTGTGGACGCCACTTCTCACATGGTGCCCACCTCCGAGCTCACATGAAGACACACACGTGATGGAAGTGACGTAATTAACTTATTGTTTTACATATGATCTAAAGTTTTATGTGGACTTGAACCTGTTTTAAAAAGGGGCATTCCACAGAAATTCAAGAGTTCAATACATACAGTAGACGTCTGTTCTGTGATTGGGCCTTTATTGGAGCCTGGGCTGTAGTTGCTAGGCAGTTTCTGAGTAAAGTGCTGATGGTTGAGATGGCTGCTTTCATTGGTCAAGTTACTTTTTTAATTCCAGAAGATTATTTTTTATTTTATTATTGCTGTTGAATCATATAAATTGAAGCAATAAGGTCTGAGGGGGTGTGGTATATGGCTAAGGGCTGTTCTTATGCACGACGCAACGTGGACTGTCTGGATACAGCCCATAGCCGTGGTATATTGGCCATATACCACAAACCCCAGAGGTACCTTATTGCTATTATAAACTGGTTACCAATGTAATTAGAGCAGTAAAAATAAATGTTTTGTCATACCAGTGGTATAAGGTCTGATATACCACGACTTTCAGCCAATCAGCATTCAGGGCTTTAACCCCCCAGTTTATAATTAAGCAATAAGGCACGAGGGGGTGTGGTATATGGCCAATATACCACGGCTAAGGGCTGTTCTTAGGCACAATGCATCATGAACAACACAGTTTATAATGTTTCATATAACACGGCTTTCAGCCAATCAGCATCCACAGCTCGAAAACGTTCCGGTTTATAATTAGATATAAGCAACTACAGACAACTCACCACTCGGTTCTATTTTGGTCATATGGCCCATGGTTCCAACATGACCATTTAGCCTAGTCCCCAATGCATGGCCTTCCGACCTTGCTAACGCTTGCGTGCAGTGCACGCGCGCCATGCAGCGCAGGTGGAAAGACAGACTGCGAATGGACAGGAACATCGCTGCGCCTGCGCGTAATAGGGACGAGGTTTCTGTGTAGAGTTCTACCACAAATCAACAAGAGGATCGACATTAAACTAAATGGGGTCATTAAACAAGGTGAGTGGCTGGTATGTAGGCTAATATCTGAATGTATAGGCTACAGCCTATGTATGGCTTAGTTTTCATAGCCTACTATTTATGATTATTGCCTATGCATTGCCGCATGGTTGGACTGTGACCAATGAAATAATAACTGTCATAAAAGTTGCTCTACCATAGCCATACACGTTTTTCTTGTTTTAAGACAGCACAGTGTCGTACACAGCCAAACGTCACGCTACAACCGAACAATTTTACTGTCTATTTTGAGGCGTTTTGGCACCACACTTCAGATTGCGCGCAAAGGAAACCAGTAACGCAATGACCGCATGGCGGATAAATCTACAGATAATCTGATCTGGATTACCGTTATCCGCTATAGGGCGAGTGTACTGTATCTGTTTCTGTTGTAGTCTTCCGCACTGTAATGTTGGCTACAGCTCAGTACACATTATCATACCATTAGCTGATTAATTACGCATTAGACCGTAGCATATGACTTTTATTAATTCCTAGGCTGTACTATTCCGATTTCCGACCTGGTATGATAATTATCCTTAAAGTGTTTGATGTGCAGTATGTATTATTATTATTGTTATTATTAATTATTATTGCATTATTACACCTGCCATGTGTTGTGATGCCTCTTCACTTGTATTTTTTAGGGGGAAGATGAACAATAGCCTCTCTCAAGGCAAATGACAGGATCATTTATAAAATGGCAACAAAGGAATGAATAAAAGTCACGAGTTACACACTTGAGAAAAGAGAGGGAAATAAACCCAAAGTAGACATCAAGGAAGGCAGAGAGGAGAGGAAGTGAGAAAGAAAGAGGAAGAGAAACAACTCTACAGACAGGGTTGCTATTAGAAACCATCCAGTTACCAGTCATTCAGCAGTTTATACTGCAGGTTTAGAAACGTCTCACTCCTCGTGGGTTTAACCACTAGGGCTACTATTATGACAACTCATGTTTGTGTGCTATAAACTCTAATTCCACCGCTATTAATTCTACTATGGCCACCACTACCACTTCAAGTCTTAGGTGTTTGAAACCTGTCATAAAACTTGTTATCTGTAACTTCTTCTGATACCGCAGGTAATTCTATAGACAGTTTAATGGTCTTCTACATTCAGAGTTACATTTAGGTCATTTAACAGAGGCTCTTATCCAGAGTGACTCACAGTCTCTAGACACAGTCTTCCCTCCTAAAAAAAAACCTCAACTTGTTGTTGACACTTGGCAGCCATTGAGAAGGGCAGTTAACCAGTAGATTTTCTGGTAAATGCAGTTTGAATTTGAATGCCACGCCTTATCTCTCCCACACAGCACTTCTTTCTAGTGATACAGCTTATTTTCAGCCAGTCGGTCTCAAAGACTCAACGAGAGAGAGAGAGAGAGAGAGAGAGAGAGAGAGAGAGAGAGAGAGAGAGAGAGAGAGAGAGAGAGGTTATATACAGCTTACTTTTCACCACTTTTGATTATCAGTGATTAGGGAGTCTGTCAGTCAGCCAGTCAGCCAGGCAGGTAGCTAGTCAGCCAGCTAGGCAGCTATCAGTCGGTCAGCCAGCCAGTCAGAGCAGGGAGTCAGTCAGTCAGCCAGGGAGGTAGCTAGTCAGCCAGCCAGGCAGTTATCAGTCTGTCAGCCAGCCAGGCAGTCAGTCAGTTAATCAGGGAGGATGCTGGGATGCGAGGGGGGCGGGGTGGGGCTGCGCTACCGGCTGACCCTGGCCACAGGGCTGGTGGAGTGTCTGTGTTTCGCCGGCGTGGTCTTCGGCTGGGCATCGCTGGTCTTCGTCCTGAAGACAGACGGATACTTCACTGACCTCTGTGTCAATGTGACTACTGGACCCAACAGTACAGTGGAAACAGGTGAGTAGTTAAATGCTATTCAGTTCAATATGACATAGAATAGAATAGTATAGATTGGAATAGAATAGAATACAATACAATATGAAGCACATCAGAGCAGTTCATACTAGAAAACTGAAGGACCTGGATCTCTCTACTGCCATCTTTCTCCCCTTCTGTATTTCTCTCTCTCTATCACTCTCTTTCTCTCTGTATTCCTCTCTCTCTCTGCCCCATCCTCCCTCCCCCGCGCTCTCCCTCCCCCCCGCGCTCTCTCTCCCCATCCATCCATCTCTCTCAGACTGTAGTGGCCAGGATGAACAGTTCTCTCCCCCCATCCCTCCATCTCTCTCTCAGACTGTAGTGGCCAGGATGAACAGTTCTCTCCCCCATCCCTCCATCTCTCTCTCTCAGACTGTAGTGGACAGGATGAACAGTTCTCTCTCTCCCATCCCTCCATCTCTCTCTCTCTCAGACTGTAGTGGCCAGGATGAACAGTTCTCCCTGGTCTTCACCGTCGCCTCCTTTATGAACAACTTCCTCACGCTTCCCAATGGATTCATCTTCGACCGCTTCGGCACCATGGCAACGAGACTTCTGGGAATGTGAGTCTTTTTGAAACTACAGAAATCCAGGCTTCATTGCTAGGGCCCAGAGTTTTTCCTGCCCTGGTCAGGTAAGGATGGCGATATACCCATATACAATGTGATATATGTCATATCCATTGCAAATAATTCTTACATTGTCAACATTTAAATAATATAACTAGGTCCTGACCTCTGACCAGCATTTCCAGGACATCTGCAAAGTTCATGTACACAGAGTCAATGAATTACAATTCTTTAAACTCTGCGCATTAAGTTTATACCTAGACCGTCGCCTAGATGAGAGAGAGAGAGAGCGATAGAGTCAAAAGGGGGTGGGAAGTTGAGGGTCCAATCCTGGTTTACTCAGTCATTGTTTTTGTAGAATGTGTATGCATATTTTAATCTAAGTTCTACAGGTTTATTGAGGTTGTCTTCTGACCCACTGAGAAATGTGTCAAAAGTTGAAAGTTTAACAGACCATAACCCTCTGTGTGACATCTCTTTATCTGTCTCTGCCCTGTGTTTCCCCTCAGATGTCTCTACACCACTGGTACACTAATGGTTGCCTTCTCCAGTTCAGGTAAACATAGACTATACAGTGTAAAGGCTGTTATTCAATCAGAACAGCTCTTGATATTTGTGTATTTGAAAAATGAATCAAGTCAATCAATCAGTCAAATGTATTTATAAAGCTATTTTTACATCAGCAGATGTCACAATGTACTTACACAGAAACCCAGCCTAAAACCCCAAACAGCAAGCAATGCAGATGTAGAAGCACGGTGGCTAGGAAAAACTCCCTAGAAAGGCAGAAACCTAGGAAGAAACCTAGAGAGGAACCAGGCTCTGAGGGGTGGCCAGTCCTCTTCTGGCTATGCCAGGTGGAAAGAGTACATGGCCATTAAGGCCAGATCGTTCTTCAAGATGTTCAAACGTTCATAGATGACCTGCATGTTCAATAATAATCACAGTGGTTGTAGAGGGTGCAACAGGTCAGTACCTCAGGAGTAAATGTCAGTTGGCTTTTCATAGCCGAGCATTCAGAGGTCGAGAGAGAGAGACAGGAAGAAGGAGAGAGAGGGTTGAAACAGCAGGTCCGGGACAAGGTAGCGCATCAGGCAGAACCAGCAGAAACTGGAGCAGCAGTACGACCAGGTGGACTGGGGACGGGGACCCTGCAAAAGCATTAGGAAGAGCACATTCCTAGTGTAGGATGTTGGATGAGTAGAGATTGAACTTGGTCTATTCTGTCTCTCTCTCTCTCTCTCTCTAATAGTTCTGTCCATGCTGCTGTTCCCAGCCCTGTCCTTCATCGCAGTGGGAGGAATATTGTTCCTCATCACAAACATACAGGTACAGCAGCATGCCATGACTCCTCAGTTTCAACACAGTTACAGACAGTACAAACAGTATTCATTACAGACAGTACAACCAGTATTCATTACAGACAGTACAACCAGTATTCATTACAGACAGTACACACAATATTCATTAGACAGTACATACAGTATTCATTACAGATAGTACAAACTGTATTCATTAGACAGTACAAACAGTATTAATTACAGACAGTACAACCAATATTCATTACAGACAGTACAACCAATATTCATTACAGACAGTACAACCAGTATTCATTAGACAGTACAACCAGTATTCATTAGACAGTACAAACAGTATTCATTAGACAGTACAAACAGTATTCATTAGACAGTACAAACAGTATTCATTAGACAGTACAAACAGTATTCATTAGACAGTACAAACAGTATTCATTAGCAGTGGCGGCTCCTGAAAAAATTCTCAGGAGGGGCAATTTTTCTGATGATTTAGGTGACCTACACACATTTTAAAAAAGATATGTCCAGCAACAACATGAAGACAGGGGCAGCATATAAGTCAATACCAGAAGCATTTATTGACTGATCTGGGGAGATGGATTCCAGTTTCTGTGACAGATTATAAATAATCTCTGATGCCTTTGTTATATTAGCTTTTGGTTGAATGTACTGTCGTAGTAAATATATAATGTTATAGCTTGGTCTGACTAAAATCTTGTGCATGACCCATTTTGTGTTGGGCGTTTGTTTCTGTTCCTATCCTATAACAATGGACAAAAGAGTCCTATCTTGTCAGCCTTGTCAGCAGGTGGCCAAGGAGTGGTGATCCTAGCTGACCTAAGACAGGACACTTTTACTTTACTCGCGTGCACGAACGAGTCCGTGCACGCGATTCCAGATATCTTTACCTCTGAATAAACTGCCTTTATTATACCATATCCACCCTGTCCAAAGTCTCTACTTGGTCTCAGTTCTCCAGTAAACTTGTGATTATCAACAGTACACAACGGTAACAAACAATTGGGGGAACTCACGGGGCAGATAGTAACCACTTAAAAGGAAGCGATTCCCAAACCTTCCATAACAAAGCCATCACCTACAGAGAGATGAACTTGGAGAAGAGTCCCCTAAGTAAGCTTGTCCTGGGCCTCTGTTCACAAACACAAACAGACCCCACACAGCCCCAGGACAACAACAACAACAACAACAACAACAACACATTTAGACCCAACCAAATCATGAGAAAACAAAAAGAGAATTACTTGACACATTGGAAAGAACAAACAAAAAAACAGAGCAAACTAGAATGCTATTTGGCCCTAAACAGAGAGTACACAGTGGCAGAATACCTGACCACTGTGACTGACCCAAACTTAAGGAAAGCTTTGACTATGTACAGACTCAGTGACCATAGCCTTGCTATTGAGAAAGGCCGCCGTAGGCAGACCTGGCTCTCAAGAGAAGACAGGCTATGTGCACACTGCCCACAAAATGAGGTGGAAACTGAGCTGCACTTCCTAACCTCCTGCCAAATGTATGACCATATTAGAGACACATATTTCCCTCAGATTACAGCGATCCACAAAGAATTCGAAAACAAACCCAATTTTGATAAACTCCCTTATCTACTGGGTGAAAAACCACAGTGTGCCATCACAGCTGCAAGATTTGTGACCTGTTGCCACAAGAAAAGGGCAACCAGTGAAGAACAAACACCATTGTAAATACAACCCATATTTATGTTTATTTATTTTCCCATTTGTACTTTAACTATTTGCACATTGTAACAACACTGTATATATACATAATATGACATTTGAAATGTCTTTATTCTTTTGAAACTTCTGAGTGTAATGTTTACTGTTAATATTTATTGTTTATTTCACTTTTGTTTACTATCTACTTCCCTTGCTTTGGCAATGTTAACACACGTTTCCCATGCCAATAAAGCCCTTAAATTGAATTGAATTGATAGTAAGGTCGCAATGACACAGAAAGCAGTTCAATGTCGGGGTACAGAGTCGCTCTCTTACCAGGATCGCGGTCCGCTCTGACCAGGGTGAAGGTGGCCGGCTCCACTTCTCTGTCCGGGACTCTGTCATCCAGCCAAGTCTCCCAGCTGTATTGGGATTCCGCTGCCAGCAGCGTTTTCATTATTTAGTCCGTTCGTAGCGGGTATGTACACGATCAACAAGGTCAGTCCAAAACCAACCACTGGAAATCCATGGTTGGCAGAATGTTTGTAAACTAAGTCTACAAATTAAAAACATAAAATAACGCCACACTGCAGGTCACAACAGAGACGCTGCTAGCCGCCATTGTCTTAGTTACGTTCATGGTTACGTCACGTATGACGAAAGCGCGTAAGTGCATGCCCACAGACACCCATAGAGAATGTATTGAAAGCTTTGAAATTTGAAAAAAATAGATTTTACATGACAGGCTATGAGAGACTTCTGGGCGATTTTCAACTTGACTGAAATCGCCCCAAAAACGGGCGGGGCCATTTGAAGCACGACTTTAGCCTGATTTGATATTTAGTGGCTGGCAGATCAGACGTGAACACTGATAACTACTGTTGCCGTGATATAATTGATTAGAAAAAAAATCCCTTCCTTTTCCCGTTTGGCAGTGCGTCGCCCATATCGCCCTATTGAACACACCGCCCATGTTCATTAGACAGTACAAACAGTATTCATTACAGACAGTACAAACAGTATTCATTACAGACAGTACAAACAGTATTCATTACAGACAGTACAAACAGTATTCATTAGACAGTACAGACAGTATTCATTACAGACAGTATTCATTACAGACAGTACAAACAGTATTCATTAGACAGTACAAACAGTATTCATTACAGACAGTACAACCAATATTCATTACAGACAGTACAACCAATATTCATTACAGACAGTACAGACATTATTCATTACAGACAGTACAGACATTATTCATTACAGACAGTACAAACAGTATTCATTACAGACAGTACAAACAGTATTCATTACAGACAGTACAAACTGTATTTATTAGACAGTACAAACAGTATTCATTACAGACAGTACAAACAGTATTCATTAGACAGTACAACCAGTATTCATTACAGACAGTACAACCAGTATTCATTACAGACAGTACAACCAGTATTCATTACAGACAGTACAACCAGTATTCATTACAGACAGTATGTTACGAACCCCGTGGCTTTAAATGTCTAAGGTGGATGGACATGAGACCCGTAACATAATTCATGCAAATTAGAATGATGACATGGAACAGTGAGAACGAAAAACTACACGACAACCATAAACTACCGTCAAACATAAAATGTTTATTTGTGAACACACGGTAAAGGTTTGGGAAAAGGGGCTGAGCAGGACCCAATAAATGAAACAATAGTGTAAAACACCCCTAAACTGATCTTGCCTGCCTCAAGAACCGCTAAACTACTGCTAATCATACAAAAATACAGTGGGTGGTCCGCTCAGGTCTAACTAGTGTTTATAGACAGTTTTCTTTCTACGGGTAATGTATGCCCAAGGGCAGCTTGCTTAACTTCCCCTTTTCCCAGAAACACACAAAGTTACCAAACAGAGTAACCAGCAAATTAGTGAGTACTCTAAACACAGGACATCACAGTATCCATACTCACATACAGAAATTAGTCTCTAACAAAATTATCAAACAGAGTAACCAGCAACTTAGTGAGTAAACAAAAAACAGGACACCACAGTGTCCATACTCACATACGGAAATAGTCTCTCTCTAAACAAACACAACTGACTGGTTTTTATACAATGGGATGTGTGATTGAAAAACCAGCAACAGGTGGTGCAATGCAGAGGAATGTTCACTGATTGGTCCACCTTAGCAATCAGCAGACACCTCAACGACCACCAATCAGGAACATACAGGACACCTGTTATTAGGGCAGAAGGAGAGGAAAAACACAAAAAGACACAGGATACCTGTATCCGTAACACAGTACAAACAGTATTCATTACAGACAGTACAAACTGTATGCATTACAGACAGTACAAACAGTATTCATTACAGACAGTACAAACAGTATTCATTACAGACAGTACAAACAGTATTCATTAGACAGTACAAACAGTATTCATTAGACAGTACAAACAGTATTCATTACAGACAGTACAAACAGTATTCATTATACAGTACAAACAGTATTCATTATACAGTACAAACAGTATTCATTACAGACAGTACAAACAGTATTCATTACAGACAGTACAAACTGTATTCATTAGACAGTACAAACAGTATTCATTACAGACAGTACAAACAGTATTCATTACAGACAGTATAAACAGTATTCATTACAGACAGTACAAACAGTATTCATTACAGACAGTACAACCAGTATTCATTACAGACAGTACAAACAGTATTCATTACAGACAGTACAAACAGTATTCATTACAGACAGTACAAGCAGTATTCATTACAGACAGTACAAACAGTATTCATTACAGACAGTACAAACAGTATGCATTACAGACAGTACAAACAGTATTCATTAGAGACAGTACAAACAGTATTCATTAGACAGTACAAACAGTATTCATTACAGACAGTACAAACAGTATTCATTACAGACAGTACAAACACTATTCATTACAGACAGTACAAACAGTATTCATTACAGACAGTACAAACAGTATTCATTAGACAGTACAAACAGTATTCATTACAGATAGTACAAACAGTATTCATTAGACAGTACAAACAGTATTCATTAGACAGTACAAACAGTATTCATTACAGACAGTACATACAGTATTCATTACAGACAGTACATACAGTATTCATTACAGACAGTACATACAGTATTCATTACATCTTTGTGACCGGTGTATGTCACACACAATTTTGTTTGACACATAAAATAGATATTTCTTCAGTAAATACTGTATTTATACTGTGTACTATATAGATACTGTATTTATACTCTGTACTATATGGATACTGTATTTATACTGTATACTATATGGATACTGTATTTATACTGTATACTATATGGATACTGTATTTATGCTGTATACTATATGGATACTGTATTTATACTGTGTACTATATGGATACTGTATTTATACTGTGTACTATATGGATATTGTATTTATACTGTATACTATATGGATACTGTATTTATGCTGTATACTATATGGATATTGTATTTATACTGTGTACTATATGGATACTGTATTTATACTGTATATTATATGGATGGATGTATTCTTCTTGTTTGAATCTCCTCATTTGTCTCCTCAACTGTTGTTCTCTACTATAGGTTGGAAACCTGTTTGGCTCCCATCGTTCCACCATCATCACCCTTTATAATGGAGCCTTCGACTCTTCCTCCGCTGTCTTCCTCATCTTCAAGGTATCACAGATCTCACACATACTGTAGCCTACAGGCCTCAGATCATTTTTCTGCTCTTGTCAGGTTGATAGATAACTGTGCCTTAAAAAGGCCAATTATATATTTTCTGCCATGTGTATAAAACAGATGCATTTGATTATATTTGTATATATTGTAGATATATCCCATATATTGATTATATTTGTATTATATGTAGTCATGGTCGCCTAATATCCATTGGTGGCTCTGGTTATCCATCTCGCCCTCTGTCGTCCCCGTCCCCCCGTCTCTCCCTCTGTCTCCCCCCGTCTCAGGTGCTGTATGAAGGAGGGGTCTCCCTCCGCTCCTCCTTCCTCATTCTCTCTGTCTGCAGTGTCTTCCACCTCCTCAGGACGTTCCTCCTCATGCCCAACACCCACATCCCCTACCCACTCCCTGAGGGCTTCACCTACGGGTCAGAACTACAACTCCCACACATACGACAGTATTAATCTGACCAGGCCCTATGATACATAAGACCATAGTATGTATGGGGGTTGTAGTTCTCACCTGAGAGCACTATGACTCCCATATGGCCTGGGGGTTTTCCGGACCATGGAGTTTTTCCTTGTCAGATTACTTGGGCAGATTACTAGTCCTGTACTTGTTCATAGATAAATGCAAAACAAAATTAAATAATTATTTGGGTTTGGCATTTAACAAATTGTATTGATTTGTCAGGTTAGTCTCAATGACATGCATTCATATTAGATGGGTGACCCTGATGATCAAAGCTATTTGATTATACCCTGATGCTTCCTTTTAAACAGAGTAAGCCTTGGAAAGTCCAACAGCTACAACGTAGAGGAGTTTGAGAAGACGCGCGAGACGGGGATGACATCAGAGGGGGAGGGGCCAGCAGAGACGGACGACATTCTCCTACAGCCTGATGACGGGCAGCAGTCAGGAGACTCTGGGAAAGGTGTCGTTTGGCCAACTGCAATCTTTAATCTGGCTGGGAAATGGCAGGTGCAATTTGTTGACTCAAATGTTTCTCTTTTTATTTCTCTCTCTTCCTCTCACACACACACTCTCAGTGGCCAGTTTCAGGAGCTGTGTGCAGTCGTGGTTCTTCCTGTGGCATCTGGTGTGGCTGTCTGTCATGCAGCTGAGACACTACCTCTTCATCGGAACACTGAACCCCATGCTCAACCGGCTGGCCGACAACGACTCAGCCCTGGGTAAACCCCACACACACACACACACACACACACACACACACACACACACACACACACACACACACACACACACACACACACACACACACACACACACACACACACACACACACACACACACACACACACACACACACACACACACACACACACACACACACACACCAAAGCATAGGTTCATTTAATTAATCTAAATACTCTCTCCCCTTCTCTCTCTCTTTCTCCCTCTCTCAGTGAGTCAGTACACCAATGCCTTTGCCTTCACCCAGCTGTGTGGGGTCCTCTGTGCTCCCTGGAACGGCCTCATCATGGACAGACACAAGGGGAAGCCTCTGGCTCCAGGTGGGTGACATGGCTCTAGCTTAGTAACAACAGGGTTCAATAGGGCACAACGTAGAAAAATGTTAAGCAATGAAAAACTAAAATGGGTATCCTTATTGGTCCAGGTAGTAGGCCTACCTCCTGTTTCAGTCCGTTAAACAATGTTGTTTTCTCCTGTTTCATGCCTAATGAGCATGGCCATGGTTCTGGTGTGTGGCCATCATCCTCATCATCACCCAACCTTTCTCTCACCTCCTCCCTCTATAGGAGAAACAGATAAGGAGGCAGACCTGCGCTCCTCCTCTCTCTCCCTCTTCCTCACCTCCCTCCAGTGCCTCCTCTTCTCCATCTGCGCCTCCTCTCCTCTCCTCCCTCTCCAGTACCTCACCTTCATTCTCCAGGTCCTCAACCGCTCCTTCCTCTACGGAGGCAACGCAGCCTTCATCAGCATCGCGTGAGTAATAGGGGGATGGAGTGAGGGATGGAGTGAGAGAGGGATAGGGGAATGGAGGGAGGGATGGAGTGAGAGAGGATAGGGGAATGGAGTGATGAGGAGAGGGATAGGGGATGGAGGGAGGGATGGAGTGGAGGGATGGGGTGGTTGAGAGGATAGGGGATGGGGGATGGAGTGAGCGAGGAATGGGGGATGGAGGGAGAGGATAGGGGGCTGGAGGTGAGAGGATGGGGATGTGAGGGGGTAGGCATGGAGGGCGTGAGCGGGATAGGGGGCTGGGTGAGGGGTTCGGGGGGATGGCGTGAGGCGGGAGGGGCTGGAGGGGGGTGGAGGGAGGGTTGCGGGAGGGAGGGGTCGAGTGCGGGGAGGGTCGGCCCTGGTGAGAGGTAGGGTGGAGGGCTCTGGGCTGGCGGGAGGGTGGTGGAGCGGGGCTCGGGGCTGCGGGCGGGTGGCGTGGAGGGTAGGGGATGGCGGGCGGATAGTGAGAGAGGGTGGGGGAAGAGGGAGGGATGGCGGGATAGGGATGGAGGGAGGGATGAGTGAGAGAGGGAGAAAGAGAGGGTTAAGGAGGAGATACTGGGGGCAGAGTAGCGGGTTAGTAGCGAGATGGACAGGAAGTAAATAAAAGGGTAGATTATAGAAAAAGGAACAAGGGACTCAACAATAAATAGACAATAGACTTTAGAGTATATAATGTAAAATCAGTTCAAAGCCTGAAGGTAACTGACTGCTACTCATTCATACTTCCCTCAGTTGATGTCCGGCTGTTCATTATGTTCTCCTTCCTCCCCTCTCTCACCACAGTTTTCCTGGGGTTCACTTTGGGAAGCTGTACGGTTTGGTGATGTCTCTGTCTGCCGTGGTGTCACTGCTGCAGTACCCCTGTTTCGCCCTGGTCAAAGGAGCCCTAGATGGAGACCCCTTCTATGTGAGTGGGTTATACGAACATACGGTCACTCAGGCCAATAGATTACTAACCTCGTCCCCAGGCTCAGTTGCTATCGAGAGAGAGACGGCTGGGTGGACGAGATTAGTAGATGTACTGTGCTGTACTTGCCAAAAAGTAAATATTGAAATGTGAAATGTCTTTGTTAAACTTATACCTCACAGCTCATAACATAATAACCTTGTAACATACCTCTTAACCTATAGATATACAGTAGGCCTACCTTGCAGACCGGTAAGGTTAAGGATACTCTCTCTTTGTTGTCTTTCCTCCTCTACAGGTTAACATCGCTCTGACTCTCCTCACTCTACTGGCGTTCATCCATCCAATCAACATCTTCTATGGCTGCAGGAAACTGACCAATCAGAGGGAGGATATGGCCGGTGGTCCTGCCATCACATTGGCTGAGGCCAAAATGTAGGGGATGTTACATGAGGGTCCTGAGCCAAGGGAAACAGGAATTGAAAAAAAGTGAAACAGGAATTGTCTCATTTATAATTGTTTAAAGGGAATAAGTGAATATGTAAAATAATAATAAAAAGCTTTTTATACCTCTGTTTTACAGTAATCCCATTCCATCAGTATTTTTTGTAAGGTTTCAGAAATATTCATACTTTGTTGGATAGTTGTCAAAAAGTATTTTCCATTGTTGTGAAGTATTATCCATTGTTGTGTCTTGATTTGTAAGGATAATAAATAAAGTCATGGCAGAGTACGTCATACCGGAAGTCGTCATTGAAAACAAACCGGTTTCCGGTCAAAATGGATTCACGTAGTCCAAAACAAACCAGTTGCCGAACACATATCAGTTTAGCCTGATAAAGATTTGGTATTCTCAAAGTTTGTCACGTGTAGGCAAAATTGAAGCTACCGACGTACACCCTATATCCTGAGTTTCACAACAACTTTAGAAATGGAGGAAAGCACGTTTACAATTTCATTCCGAAAAGAGCTCAACACGCGTATGGGAACGTTACTCAGTCAAACGGTGGATGAAGTGATCGACGTGATGCAAGCTAGTTTTACACAACTTAAAAAACAACTGAACGACTCTTTACAGATGTCAGCAGAGAAAGTCGTGGTTAATGTCTGTCCATCTCTGAAGTGCCGTTGGATCGTTGTATGGGTTCTCTGCGAAAAACGTTACTGGCTGTCGAAAAGTCAGGTCGCCGACGTCATTCACCGTGAACGGACCAGTACCGAGGACGGAGAGAGCAGAGTACTTCAGTTAGCGGCGGAAGAAGCTGAAAATGAATTTGTCACTTACGACTGTGATGACAACGATAGCACAAACACAGGTAGTTCATTCCACTCACACACTGAAGGAAGATAACATACACAAACATTGTCCAATGTGTGTATCTTGCTGCTGTTTAATTGATTGTAATCAAACACACAGTAGACTGTCTTTTGATCAAGTTTTGGGGTACATTTATGAAATGTAGCCCATAGCAAGCCAGGTGATAAAAAATCTATTGCCAAGGTTGACTCTTGCCTTCTTTGGCCCAACAACAACAGGTCACATGCAGACCACGGCTGCCATGGCGATACCAAAGCAGACCCAGATCCACCATAAGGTGGCAGTGGATCAAGCCTCCATCACCCCCCTCCACACATGCAGCCTGTGTGGCAAGAGCTTTGACCGCGAGTGGAAGCTGACGAGACACAGAGAGGGGAAGTTCACGCAGGTACACAATATCCTACCATTGTGCCTTTAAGCAAGGCACTTAACCTCAACTATGGTGCTGCACTGTGGCTGACCCTGTTTGCTCCTCTCAAAATGTGTATGATGGAGTTCGGTGGTTTGAGAGCAAAGCAGAAGACTAATTTCAGATGTGCCAATTGGCTTAGTAACGGTTTCATTGTGTGCCTGTGGCTGGTAACGCTGCCGCCTGCAGCAGATCTACACCACCCCAGCATGGGTATGGATCAAGACCCCAGCATGGGTACGGATCAAGACCCCAGCATGGGTACGGATCAAGACCCCAGCATGGGTACGGATCAAGACCCCAGCATGGGTACGGATCAAGACCCCAGCATGGGTACGAATCAAGACCCAGCATGGGTACGAATCAAGACCCCAGCATGGGTACGAATCAAGACCCCAGCATGGGTACGAATCAAGACCCCAACGCTATTCTGCATCTCACTCCTCCCTCTCTCACTCTAGGTGGAGACCCTGTGCCCTCGCTGTGGCCATATGGTTCAGGATGATGCTGATGCACCTACGTGTCCACACGGGAGAGAAGCCTCACTCCTGCTCCGACTGCAACAAGACCTTCCACAGACTGGTAGGTACTGGGTAGACGTAGCCAAATGTTTTGCAACAGTGATTTCAGTTTGTGGTAAGGGTAAGCTCGTTGGAACTAGCTACTGTGAGTGCCAACCTACCTATTCTATTCTTTGTATTTGGCTGACAGGAATCTCTTAAGAAACACAAGCTACTACACCAAGGGGTGAAGGCCTACACCTGCCCCCGGTGCCCGCGCACCTTCTTCCGTTCCGATGGACGCAAGCAACACATGCTCACCCACCAGCAGGACAGGCCCAAGCCGTGCATGTGCTCGCACTGCGGCAAAGCCTTCTCCAACGCCACGGCGGTCGCCGCCCACGAGCGGACACACACGGGAGAACGGCTGTTCCTGTGCCCGCAGTGCGATAAGATGTTTGCGACCGCCGGTATGATGAGGGCGCACGCCCTGTGCCACCTGAGTGAGCGACCTCACCCGTGTCCCCAGTGTGAGAAGAGCTTCAGAACAGTGCATGATCTGAGGAGTCATCAGCTGGTACACTGTGACATGAGGCCCTTCCTGTGTGAGAAGTGTCCCAAGGCCTTCAGGATAGCCAGGATTCTGCGTAACCACAAGGTCAGTCAAGTTAGGTTGAGAGGACTGGCCCCTGGTTTTGCAGTCAGTATACATGTAGGTAGGAAATACTGTTCATAGGGGTTTGGGGAAGTGTAGGAGAGATGCGGACTCCTGTAATTAGTCTTCACAATACTACAGATATCTTTATTGAATATCTATAAATGAATAATTTTCCCTTTAAAAGGTATAATATAGGTATGCTTTGAGAATGATAGTTTTATAATATTAGCGTATAAAAGGACTGCCGATGAGAATGAGCATAGCTAAATGGGTGCTGTGAAATAAACCCATGAAAACATTGTTCCCTGTATTAGGTTCACCACATGGAGGACCGTGACCACGCCTGGGAGGACTGCAACAACACCTTCAAGACACCCTAGCACCTGAAGCTCCACCGCAGGATCCACTCGAAGGACACGCTCTACGTCTGTGGCAAGGGATTCCGCCGGCCCGACCGACTCACCCTCCACCACCGTACTCACGCCGCCGAGCCAGCCCGGGAAGACGCGCCACGAGTGTTACATGTGCCCCACTGGCGTTCACCAAGGAGAGACACCTCACTGTTCACCTTAAAGTGGAGTACAGTGTTGGACCGCCCACCCCCCCCGGGTCAAGGTCAAAGTTGAACTGTCATCTGGGTTCGAGCCGAAGACTAGGACTGTCCAGGTCAAACACAAACCGCCTTCGTTCAGATGTGACCTGTGTCGGGTTAGTTATACAAGTCTGAACCATCTGGATAACCACACCTGTGACGAGGACAGACTGAGTCAGAGAAACAAACAGTTACAGCAGAACAAGAGGATCGCAATGAAGTCAGAGCAGAGTTTGGTGTTGAAAGAAGAAAACAATGTATTCCTGTCTTATAGACAACTTCTGTCAGTGTCTAGTAGGACACTCCATAGACAACAGCTTGTGTCAGGGCCAGGGAGTGCTGTAGCAGGGAATACAGGTCTAGGACCAGTTGTTAGCCCGCAGCTTGTGTCAGGGCCGGGGAGTGCTGTAGCAGCAAGAACAGGTTTAGGAACTGTTGTTAGACCGCAGCGTGTGTCAGGGCCAGCAGGAAGAACAGATCCCAGGCCTGTTTTTATGATGGTAGCCAACCAGGAAGTGGGACAGCCTCTGACCTTGTTCCAAGCACCTGTTGTGAGGTTCACAACTCCTGGTAAGAGTCACAGCACCATCTACAGGCCAAACAGTGAAACAGCAACATCCTCTAGGACTAGTTTACATGCCTGTGGGATCAGCCACACCCAGACCAGTAGTAGCAGTATCTCTAACCACATCCAAACCAGTAGGATCACTAGTAAATCCCTTAGCAAAACCTCTAGTGACACAAGTCTCACCTGTAGCAGCCAAACCAGTAGGATCACTAGTAAATCCCTTAGCAAAACCTCTAGTGACACAAGTCTCACCTGTAGCAGCCAAACCAGTAGGATCACTAGTAAATCCCTTAGCAAAACCTCTAGTGACACAAGTCTCACCTGTAGCAGCCAAACCTCTAGTAACACCACGGTCACCTCCATGGCCAGACCAGAAGTAACACCACCGGTCACCTCCATGGCCAGACCAGAAGTAACACCACCGGTCACCTCCATGGCCAGACCAGAAGTAACACCACCGGTCACCTCCATGGCCAGACCAGAAGTAACACCACCGGTCACCTCCATGGCCAGACCAGAAGTAAACACCACCGGTCACCTCCATGGCCAGACCAGAAGTAACACCACCGGTCACCTCCATGGCCAGACCAGAAGTAACACCACCGGTCACCTCCATGGCCAGACCAGAAGTAACACCCCCGGTCACCTCCATGGCCAGACCAGAAGTAACACCACCGGTCACCTCCATGGCCAGACCAGAAGTAACACCACCGGTCACCTCCATGGCCAGACCAGAAGTAACACCACCGGTCACCTCCATGGCCAGACCAGAAGTAACACCACCGGTCACCTCCATGGCCAGACCAGAAGTAACACCACCGGTCACCTCCATGGCCAGACCAGAAGTAACACCACTTCTTGATCACAACTATGGCAGCACCAGTAACTCCCAGGCCTAGAACAAACAGAAGCAAATGTTTTTGTATTTTTTATTGTCAAATAAATCATATCATATATAAAAACAGGGAGGGACCTACCTGAATTTGTCCAATAGAAACTCGTTTATGTAGCTTTTTTTTCCCCCAAAACGTTTTGCTACAGTGTGCAACTAATGAATTCACCCATAGCTACTACTCCTCCATGGTAACAGTTGGCTGAAGTAAACCCTGATATGAGGTGTCAATGAAAAGACCCATTGAAGCGTATCTCTCTAAAACACATTTTACTGAGAAATACCCAAAAGCCATTGACAGTAAGAATGTACGCAGTGATAAATGCTATTTGTATGACCATACAAACTGATCAGATATACTTCAAGTTTCTTTAATCAAGAATAGTCATTCTAACATGCAAACAAAACATTCTAAAGGATGAAGAACTGATTATGTGAACACGTTTAGGATTACAAATGTGTTAGTTTACTATTCTAACATTTAAGCTTTGGGACATTTGATTAAACAGTTATTTTATTGAACTAGGCAAGTCAGTTAAGAACAAATTCTTATTTACAATGACGGCCTACCCCGGCCAAACCCTCCCCTAACCCGGACGACACTGGGCCAATTGTGTGCCGCCCTATGGGACTCCCTATCTCAGCCGGTTGTGATACAGCCCGGGATCGAACCCGGGTCTGTAGTGACCACTGCGCCACTCAGGATTCCCTGTTAACCTCCATGGGATCGGTGTCCCGTATACGGGACAGTTGAGCTAACGTGTGCTAATGTGATTAGCATGACTGTTGTAAGTAACAGCAAACTTTCCAGGACATAGACGTCTTATATGGGCAGATAGCTTAAATTCTTGTTAATCTAACTGCACTGTCCAATTTAAAGTAGCTATTACAGTTAAATGATACCATGCTATTGTTTGAGGAGAGCGCACAACAAAAAACGTATCACGGCAACTGGTTTGATACATTCACCTCTGAAGGTAAATAATGTACATACAGTGCCTTGTTAAAGTATTCATCCCCCTTGGCGTTTTTCCTATTTCGTTGCATTACAACCTGTAATTTAAATGGATTTTTATTTGGATTTCATGTAATGGACAACAAAATAGTCCAAATTGGTGAAGTGAAATGAAAAAAATAACTTGTTTAAAAAAACTCTAAAAAATTAATAACGGAAAAGTGGTGCGTGCATATGTATTCACCCCCTTTGCTATGAAGCCCCTAAATAACATATGGTGCAACCAATTACCTTCAGAAGTCACATAATTAGTTAAATAAAGTCCACCTGTGTGCAATCTAAGTGTCACATGATCTGTCACTTGATCTCAGTATATATACACCTGTTCTGAAAGGCCCCAGAGTCTGCAACACCACTAAGCAAGGGGCACCACTAAGCAAGCGGCACCATGAAGACCAAGGAGCTCTCCAAACAGGTCAAGGACAAAATTGTGGAGAAGTACAGATCAGGGTTGGGTTATAAAAAAATATCCGAAACTTTGAACATCCCACGGAGCACCATTAAATCCATTATAAAAAAATTGAAAGAATATGGCACCACAACAAACCTGCCAAGAGAGGGCCGCCCACCAAAACTCATGGACCAGGAAAGGAGGGCATTAATCAGAGGCAACAAAGAGACCAAAGATAAGATTGGAGTATCTGTCCATAAGACCACTTTAAGCCGTACACTCCACAGAGCTGGGCTTTACGGAAGAGTGGCCAGAAAAAAGCCATTGCTTAAAGAAAAAAATAAGCAAACACATTTGGTGTTGGCCAAAAGGCATGTGGGAGACTCCCCAAACATATGGAAGAAGGTACTCATAAGAGCGTCTGCTAAATTACTAAAATGTACATGTAATGTACTCTGGTCTGATGAGACTAAAATTGAGCTTTTTGGCCATCAAGGAAAACGCTATGTCTGGCGCAAACCCAACACCTCTCATCACCCCGAGAACACTGTGGGGATGTTTTTCATCAGCAGGGACTGGGAAACTGGTCAGAATTGAAGGAATGATGGATGGCGGTAAATACAGGGAAATTCTTGAGGGAAACCCGTTTCAGTCTTCCAGAGATTTGAGACTGGGACGGAGGTTTACCTTACAGCAGGACAATGACCCTAAGCATACTTCTAAAGCAACACTTAAGTGGTTTAAGGGGAAACATTTAAATGTCTTGTAATGGCCTAGTCAAATCCCAGACCTCAATCCAATTGAGAATCTGTGGTATGACTTAAAGATTGCTGTACTCCAGCGGAACCCATCCAAGTTGAAGGAGCTGGAGCAGTTTTGCCTTGAAGAATGGGAAAAAATCCCAGTGGCTAGATGTGCCAAGCTTATAGAGACATACCCCAAGAGATTGCTGCAAAAAGTGGCTCTACAAATATTGACTTTGGGGGGGGTGAATAGTTATGCACGCTCAAGTTCTGTTTTTCTGTCTTATTTCTTTTTTGTTTCACCCCAAAAAATATTTTGCATCTTCAAAGTGGTAGGCATGTTGTGTAATCAAATGATACAAACCCCCAAAAAATATATTTTAATTCCCGGTTGTAAGGCAACAAAATAGAAAAATGCCAAGGGGGGTGAAAACTTTCGCAAGCCAGTAATCTTGCTCCGATTTGTCATCCTAAGGGTCCCAGAGATAAAATGTAGCATAGTTTTGTTTGATAAAATCATTTTTTATATTAAAATGTAGGAACTGGGTTCTACAGTTTGAAGTCCTGTTGTCTCTGGCTCCACACCCACCCCGCCCGGCCATCTAGGTGTGTGAAAGTTAGTGTATAAGCTAATGATCCATCATGTATGACATTCCTGGGAGTGTGTAAACTTACATTTTGTATTACCATGTCGTTTTTGTATGCTCTCTATAGTTATGTACTTAAATGTATCAATTGTCCAATTCGGCACATTTGGGCAGACTTGATACAAAATAGTCCAGTATTGCAATGCTTCACTGGATCAATCTGAAACTTTGCACACACACTGCTCCCATCGAGTGGCCAAAACCTAAATTGCACCTAAACTGCAATATTATATTGTGGCCTTTCTCTTGCATTTCAAAGATGATAAAAATAAACTTTTTTGTTGTTTGTATTATCTTTTACCAGTTCTAATGTGTTATTCTCCTACATTAATTTCACATTTCCACAAACTTCAAAGTGTTTCCTTTCAAATGGTTTCAAGAATATGCATATCCTTCAGGTCCTGAGCTACAGGCAGTTAGATTTGGCTATGTCATTTTAGGCGAAAATTTGAAAAAAGGGTCCGATCCTTAAGAGATTAAAAGACTATAAAGTTACATGTTCAAAGTTTCATTTCTTGTTAGGTCTACAGCTTGGCCATAATCCATTGTGTATGTTAACAGTCTGATTTCCTCCACAGAACCAATAAATCTTCCTTTGTTTGTTTCAACTGCAATATATTTTATATAGTGTTAATTTCTCAGAAAAGTAAATGAATCCTACAGACACTCAAAATTAAACCTTGTTGGTTAACCAATTATATATATATATACACACACACACACACACATATATATACACATACACACACACTACCGTTCAAAAGTTCGAGGTCACTTAGAAATGTCCTTGTTTTCCATGAAAACATACATGAAATTAGTTTGAAAAGGAAATATAGGTAATTGACAAAGTTAGAAATAATGATTTTTAATATAAATAATAATTGTGTCCTTCAAACTTTGCATTCGTCAAAGAATCCTCCATTTGCTGCAATTACAGCCTTGCAGACCTTTGGCATTCTAGTTGTCAATCTGAAGAGATTTCACCCCATGCTTCCTGAAGCACCTCCCACAAATTGGATTGGCTTGATGGGCACTTCTTACGTACCATACGGTCAAGCTGCTCCCACAACAGCTTAATAGGGTTGAGATCCGGTGACTGTGCTGGCCACTCCATTATAGACAGAATACCAGCTGACTGCTTCTTCCCTAAATAGTTCTTGCATAGTTTGGAGCTGTGCTTTGGGTCATTGTCCTGTTGTAGGAGGAAATGTGCTCCAATCAAGCGCTGTCCACATGGTTTGGCATGGTGTTGCAAAATGGAGTGATAGCCTTCCTTCTTCAAGATCCCTTTTACCCTGTACAAATCTCCCACTTTACCACCACCAAAGCACCCCCAGACCATCACATTGCCTCCACCATGCTTGACAGATGGCATCAAGCACTCCTCCAGCATCTTTTCATTTGGTCTGCGTCTCACAAATGTTCTCTTTGTGATCCGAACACCTCAAACTTCGATTCGTCTGTCCATAACACTTTTTTCCAATCTTCCTCTGTCCAGTGTCTGTTCTTTTGCCCATCTTAATCTTTTCTTTTTATTGTCCAGTCTGAGATATGGCTTTTTCTTTGCAACTCTGCCTAGAATGTCAGCATCCCGGAGTCGCCTCTTCACTGTTGACGTTGAGACTGGTGTTTTCCGGGTACTATTTCATGAAGCTGCCAGTTGAGGACCTGTGAGGCGTCCGTTTCTCAAACTAGACACTAATGTATTTGTCCTCTTGCTCAGTTGTGCACCGGGGTCTCCCACTCCTCTTTCTATTCTGGTTAGAGCCAGTTAGCGCTGTTCTGTGAAGGGAGTAGTACACAGCGTTGTACGAGATCTTCAGTTTCTTGGCAATTTCTCGCATGGAATAGCCTTCATTTCTCAGAACAAGAATAGATTGACGAGTTTCAGAAGAAAGTTCTTTGTTTCTGGCCATTTTGATTCTGTAATCGAACCCAAAATTGCTGATGGTCCAGATACTCAACTAGTCTCAAGAAGGCCAGTTTTATTGCTTCTTTCATCAGCACAACAGTTTTCAGCTGTGCTAACAATTGCAAAAGGGTTTTCTAATGATCAATTAGCCTTTTAAAATGATCAACTTGGATTAGCAAACACAACGTGCCATTGGAACACAGGGCTGATGGTTGCTGATAATGGGCCTCTGTACGCCTATGTAAATATTCCATTAAAAAAATCAGCAATTTCCAGCTACAATAGCCATTTACAACATTAACAATGTCCACACTGTAATTCTGATCAATTTGATGTTATTTTAAATGGACAAAAAAAATTGCTTTTCTTTTGAAAACAAGGACATTTCTAAGTGACCCCAAACTTTTGAACGGTAGTGTGGTGTGTATGTATGTATGTATGTATGTATGTATGTATGTATGTATGTATACATACATATAATTCTGAAATGTAAAAAGTTCTTAAAACTGAAATGAATAGGTTCAGAACAAAAACGAGTCCCATCAGACTTCGGACGGTAAACTAGCTTAAACAACAGTATATGCATACAGTACAAAAACAGAACTTAAACAATACATGCATACAGTAGTTATGCAAACAGTTCAAAGAATAAGGCACCGAAAAGGACTTCTCTCTTAATTTAGTTTCTATCTACATACTGAAAACACAGAACAGTAACATGTTCAACAGTCCAACATTTTAACCAAGAAAGGAAAGTCTTTCGAGTTTCAGAGATTGTGTGAAGACTATCACTAAGTCCATCTCATCAACTTGGAGAGAGAGAGAGAGAAGCCCCATAGTTAAATTTCTGTATTGAGTGACAGTCAGCAAGTTGTGTTAATCCTTTCAGACCGTTGTGTGACCCTGTGTGGTCGCGGTCAGGCCGTTATGGTGCAGAAACAGCATCTGGTCAAGGCCCTCTGGAGGGATATTGGTTCTCTTCCTCTGTATCACCCCTCCTCCCTCCTGCAGGAACGTCTGGACAGCACTGCCCGCGACAGCCGGGGCAGCCAGGTAGGCACGTGCTACTTTGGCCAGCAGGGGGAGCTGTCCTGATCTGGCCTTCCACCACTGTAAAGGCTCCACGCCCAGGGTGGCTCCCTTCTCTGCTCTAAAGACAGACAGCTCAATGTCCACCGTCTCTTCCACGGAGGGCTGCTTGTTCTGGGACTGGGAGCTGAACAGGTCCCCTAGAAGGAACTCCATGCCAGTCTGCTGGGACACGGGCTCAAGTTTCAGCTCCATGTTTTCACTCTCACTGTCGCCATTCACAGAGCTACCGGTGGCTTCCTCATCTGAATCGCTCTCTGTTCTCTCTTTGAAACTGACCGGGGTGATCTCCTTCAGCCTTTTGCTTCTTCTTAGGACGTCTCCCTCCATCTCTCCTGATGAGGAGGTGGTCGAGGAGGATCCCCTTTTCTTCTTCCTGCCCCCTCGAGACGCCGCCGCCACGGCCCTCCTCTGGTCCTCCTCTACGATCCGGACCGCTTCTTTCTTCAGCCAGGCGAAGGTGGTCGCCTGCTCTCTGACTTCCATGAAGCCCAGGCCGTGAAACTGGGGGTCGAGGGCGCACGCTACACACAATACCTGGTTGATCTGGGGGTCGTTGTACCGGCGGGCAAGGCCCCACCTTATCTTCTTTTTGAGTTCCTTCAAGATGGTGGAGTCGTTGCGATGGCGGGGGTGGGGGGCGAAATGTCGGTCGAGCAGGCCGGTGAGGATGGGCTTGACCAACGAGAGCCTGGGGAACGGTTCCTTGGCCAGGGTACGGCAGGCCACGTCTAGGGGTTTCAGCATGCAGGAGAGATCCTCCAACACCTTCCAGTCAGATCGCTTGGGAGGGACGGGTACCGATGAGTTGGAGCCGTCTGTGGTGTCAGAGTTAGCGCGGCCAGCGGAAGTGGAGTTTGTGTCATGGTTGTCAGCTGTTTTCAAAGCCACAGTCGTCCCTGAATCCAAGTCAGTGGGACTTCCTGTTTCTTGTCCAGTTTGAATCTCACTGTCTATTTGTTTTAGTGTCTCAGAGATCATGTTCTGATAGCGGAGGAGTGTCTTGACCACACTGTAAAGCCCATTCCAGCCTGGTTTCCCATAGGCCCAAGACTTCAGCTCAGCCGTCTCCTGCTTCTGTAGGACTAAGATCAGTTTCCTGGCTGGGTGAAGAGTTACCATGTCTTTACCATGGAAGGAGAAGAGGCTGTAGAGAAGGTGTTGGAATACACGGAGGGTCTTTGAGATGATGGAATGACCCATGACTTCCTCTATGCAGCTCTGAACAGCTGTGAAGAAACAGGGTATGGGTGGAGAGTGGGACTCCCCGCTGGTGGAGTTGGCTCGTTCGATCGCTCGTTCCAGACCTGAGAGATCATCAGAGGATATGGAGTCCTCCATCTCCAGGAATGTGGTGGAGTTCGGGTGGTGGTGACGGGCACCTCCACCTCCACCAATCCCTTCTCCACTTCTCTCTCGCTTCTTCGGACCCACCTTGGTCTTTTCCATCTCTTCGCCCCCAAGCAGGATGAAACTCGGCTGAGAGATGTCCCACTCCTGAGCCATGGACCTCACTATAGCCTCGACTACGCTCAGATCCATATCCCCAGTTCCTGTCTCACCCAGACGTTGCGTGGCCAAAGCCAGGTTATGGGAAGCGAAGTCAGCGTTGATGAAATGGGCCCACAGGGTAGCGTATCGCTCCTTGTCTCCCTGCCAGTCATGACACCACACGTCAGCACTAACAGCTACGTGGTGAGATAGTTGGTTCTGGGTCTTTGAGCGGGAACGGGCAGCTTTTCTGGTTGAGGAGCTGGGTTTGAATTGAACTGGAATGGTAGGTTTGGAAGTGTCTTCCTCATTAAACCCAGTGCTGTTCGTCAGCAACTTCGCCCAGTTCTTTCTGCCCTTGGTGTGGACGTCCCTCAGCACCTCCTCTAGTAGAGAGGCTGAAGGAAGCTCCTTGCAGGACGGAAGCAGGGTCTGGATCAGCTGCTTGAAGCCCTCCCCCTCCACTGTATCTGGGGGCAACAAGTCTTTGATGAGGAAGTTAGTGATGGCACTGGTGGTTTGAGTGGTCAAGACGTTAGAGAGCGTTCTCGGTCCCTGTGTAACGGCAGTGGTCGAACCCGCTGTTACAGTATCGGTCACTGCTGAACTGCCGTTCCCACTCCAAGTCCAGTCCTCATTACTGTAGTTATTGTTGTTGGTTCTGTGGGTTGAGGGACTGCTAGAACGAGGTGCTCTGACGCCCGTAGTGTGGTAAGGCCTGAAGCGTGAGGACGAAACCCAGGGCTTGTTGCCATCCTTGATGACGTCCCGGCGCTTCATGTGGTGCATCTGGACCAGGTGGTTCTCCAGGTGGGTGACAGTAGCACTGTAGTCCACGTGTTGACCACACAGCTTGCACATTACTTTGTCCTTGTCCAGCGGCTGGCCGTTGGGGTCCGGCTCAAACCCAAAGAACTCCCATACGGGGCTGTTGGGCTGAGAGGGGCACAACAGTTTCTCAGCACCCTTCACAAAGTCGTACTTCATGGCTATTGACAGTGACGTCTGATTGGTGTTTTGAGGTGGGTTGAGGACAGGGGTGGGGTCAGTGGTATCAGTCTGTAACCCGCTACTGACATCACTGATGACTGGCAAGGGGCTCCCTGATTGGCTGTTGTCTGACCAGCTGTAAGAGCCATTGATGTCTGGGAGACTGCTGGTTCCGCCTACTGGCACAACCTGGATGTCACGGAAGATCCGCAGTAGGATTTCCTTGTCCCCGAATTCACACTTGATGTTCTCACCTGTGAGAGTGAGAATATTGTGTTTAATAACGGTTTGTGTGAGTCAAAATATACAGTACCAGTCAAAAGTTTGGACACACATATAATTCCAGGGTTTTTCTTAGTTTTTACTATTTTCTACACTGTAGAATAATAGTGTAGACATCAAAACTATGAAATAACACATATGGAATCATGTAGTAACCAAAAAGTGTATTTTATATTTGAGATTATTCAAATAGCCACCCTTTGCCTTGATGACAGCTTTGCACACTCTTGGCATTCTCTCAACCAGCTTTTCAATTAATATGGAATATGGAATGCATTTCAATTAACAGGTGTGCCTTCTTAAAAGTTAATTTGTGGAATTTCTTTCCTTCTTAATGCGTTTGAGCCAATCAGTTGTGTTGTGACAAGGTAGGGGGGGTATACAGAAGATAGCCCTATTTGGTAAAAGACAAAGTCCATATTATGGCAAGAACATATCAAATAAGCAAAGAGAAACGACAGTCCATCATTACTTTAAGACATGAAGGTCTTAAAGTAAAAAAGACATGCTTTTCCTTCACTCTGCGGTCCGACTCATCGCAAACCATCTCAGTTGGGTTGAGGTCGGGGGATTGTTGAGGCCAGGTCACCTGATGCAGCACACCATCACTCTCCTTCTTGGTAAAATAGCCCTTACACAGCCTGGAGGTGGGTTGGGTCATTGTCCTGTTGAAAAACAAATGATACTCCCACTAAGTCCAAACCAGATGGGATGGTGTATCGCTGCAGAATGCTGTGGTAGCCATGCTGGTTAAGTGTGCCTTGAATTCTGATTCACACAGTCTCCTCTGAACAGTTGATGTTGAGATGTGTCTGTTATTTCAACTCTGTGAAGCATTTATTTGGGCTGCAATTTCTGAGGCTGGTAACTCTAATGAACTTATCCTCTGCAGCAGAGGTAACTCTGGGTCTTCCATTCCTGTGGTGGTCCTCATGAGAGCCAGTTTCTTCATTGCGCTTGATGGTTTTTGCGACAGCACTTGAAGAAACTTTCAAAGTTCTTGAAATTTGTTCCATATTGACTGACCTTCATGTCTTTAAAAGTAATGGACTGTTGTTTCTCTTTGCTTACTTGAGCTGTTCTTGCCATAATATGGACGTGGTCTTTTACGAACTAGGGCTATCTTCTGTATACCCCCCTACCTTGTCACAACACAACTGAATGGCTTAAACGCATTAAGAAGGAAATAAATTCCACTAATTCACTTTTAAGAAGGCACACGTTAATCGAAATGTATTCCAAGTGACTACCTCATGAAGCTGGTTGAGAGAATGCCAAGAGTGTGCAAAGCTGTCATCAAGGCAAAGGGTGGCTATTTGAATAATCTAAAATATATTTTGATTTGTTTAACACTTTTTTGGTTACTACATGATTCCATGTGTTATTTCATAGTTTTGCGGTCTTCACTATTATTCTACAATGTAAAAATAAAGAAAAACCCTTGAATGAGTAGGTGTGTCCAAACTTTTGACTGGTAATGTAGGTAATGCTTTATTTTACAGCTCCCTGATCAGCCCCCCTTTTACTACAAGGTAACAGCGTAATTCCATAATTATTACCCAAAAAGGTACTTCTCCGTCACATGGAATTAATACTAGGAAGCTCCAATTGTTATCAAGTAATAAATAATATACTATACCAGTTAATAACGCCTTAGCATGTAATATCATCTTCTGTCGCGCTAGAACACCAAACGTACCTATCCCTAGACCCAGCATGGCAGCGTATTCCTGGCCAATCCAGACCTTGAGTTCTGTCCCCTCAGGGATGGGCTGGGAGACCCTGTAGAAGATCTGACCGCGGTACTGGAACACGGTCAGGTTGTGTTCCTCCTCGCAGGCAGCACACGCTACATACCTGAACAGGGATGAGAGGCATGACAATGCAGTGAAATTAACATTGTGTAGCCTATGGGGCAGTTTCCCAGACACAGATTAAGTCTAATCCTGTACTAAAAATTAATCTCAACGGAGAATCTCCATTGATCTTGCTTTTTAGTCCAGGATGAATCACTGTCCTGGAAACCACCCCTAAATGTATCAATTGTATATCTTGACTAAAGATGATATGCAAACAGATATGAGATACATCCCTATTCAAATAGGGATGTCTGTTTGGACATTAGAAACATAAATGACTAAATAAATGACATTGTTATATTCATTGGGTTAACTAATAAGATCACTAAAGGAATACATGTTTGAATTGAAAAAGTTAAACAACAGATCACTAACAACCTGAAAGACTAAATGCAGACATTGTTTCAAACATAACTTCTCACCTCATCCAGTTTGATTTGTTTTCATCCGAGGCATCTACGAAGTAGTAGGAATCATTTTCTTTGATCTGGGAACAAGAGGAGATAATCAATTATTAGCTGATTAGAAGACCAAACTGAACACATTATCATCTAGTTTACAGTGTATAGGTCAGCCTTTATCTATCAAGACCATACAATACTGAACAAAAATATAAACGCAACATGTAAAGTGCTGGTCCCATGTTTCATGAGCTGAAATAAAAGATCTCAGATATTTTTCATACGCACAAAAAGCTTATTTCAAAAAAATGTGTGCAGAAATGTGTTTATATCCCTGTTAGTGAGCATTTATCCTTTGCCAAGATAATCCATCCACCTGACAGGTGTGGCATATCAAGAAGCTGATTAAACAGCATGATCATTACACAGGTGCACCTTATGCTGGGGACAATAAAAGGCCACTCTAAAATGTGCAGTTTTGTCACACAACACAATGCCACAGATGTCTCAAGTTTTGAGGGAGTGTGCAATTGGCATGCCGACTGCAGGAATGTACACCAGAGCTGTTACCAGATCATTTAATGTTAATTTCTCTACCATAAGCCGCCGCCAACGTCATTTTAGAGGATTTGGCAGTACGTCCAACCGGCCTCACAACCGCAGACCATGTGTCACCACGCCAGCCCAGGACCTCCACATCCAGCTTCTTCACCTGCGGAATCCTCTGAGACCAGCCACCCGGACAGCTGATGAAACTGATGGTGTATTAATGTCTGTAATTAAACCCTTTTGTGGGGAAAAACTATTTCTGATTGGCTGCGCCTTGCTCCCCAGTGGGTGGGCCAGTCTCCCAAGAGGCCCACCCATGCCCACCCATGGCTGTGCCCCTGCCCAGTCAGGTGAAATCCATAGATTAGGGCTTAATTTATTTATTTCAATTGACTGATTTCCTTATATGAACTGTAACTCTGTAAAATCATTGAAATTCTTGCATGTTGCATTTATAATTGTGTTCAGTATACATCTATCCTGATACACCATCCTGATCTCACAGCTTCTATATTCTGTTACACAGCTTACAGCGGTTTCAGAAAGTATTCACACCCGTTTACTTTTTCCAAATGTTGTTGTTACAGCCTGAATTTAAAATGGATTACATTTGGATGTTTAGTCACTGGCCTACACACAATACCCCATAATGTCAAAGTGGAATTATGTTTAGACATTTTTACAAGTTAATACAAAATTTGAGCTGAAATGTTTTGAGTCAATAAGTATTCAACCTTATGGCAAGGCCTAAAATTCATGAGTACAAATTTGCTTAACAAGTCACATAATAAGTTGCATGGACTCACTGTGTGCAATAGTGTTTAACATGATTTTTGAATGACTACCTCATCTCTGTACCCCACACATAAATATATGCCTTGCAAAGGGAACCTATTGGTAGATGGGTAAAATAAAAAGCAGACATTGAATATCCCTTTGAGCATGTTGAAGTTATTAATTACACTTTGGATGGTGTATCAATACACCAAGTCACTACAAAGATACAGGCGTCCTTCCTAACTCAGTTGCCGGAGAGGAAGGAAACCGCTCATGGATTTCACCATGAGGCCAATGGTGACTTTAAAACAATGACAGAGTTTAATGGCTGTGATAGGAGAAAACTGAGGATAGGAGAAAACTGAAGATGGATAAACAACATTGTAGTTACTCCACAATACTAACCTAATTGACAGAGTGAAAAGAAGGAAGCCTGTACAGAATATTCCAAAACATGCATCCTGTTTGTAACAAGGCACTAAAGTAATACTGCAAAAAAAAATGTGGCAAAGCGATTCACTTTTTGTCCTGAATACAAAGTGTTATGTTGGGGGCAAATTCAAAACAACACATTACTGAGTACCACTCTCCATATTTTCAAGCATAGTGGTGGCTGCATCATGTTATGGGTATGCTTGTAAATGTTGCACAATCCAGGTGTGGAAAGCTTTTAGAGACACCCAGAAAGACTCACAGCTGTAATCACTGCCCAAGGTGCCTCTACTCAGGGGTGGGAATATTTATGGAAATATTTCTGTATTTCATTTTCAATACATTTGATAACATTTCTAAAAACAAGTTTTCACTTTGTCATTATGGGGTATTATTTGATTTCTGGCTGTAACAACAAAATGTGGAACAAGTCTAGGGGTATGAATACTTTCTGAAGGCCCTAAACCTATTCTGTTACACAGCTTCCATATTCAGTTACATAGCTTCCATATTCAGTTACACAGCTTCCATATCCAGTTACACAGCTTCCATATCCAGTTACACAGCTTCCATATCCAGTTACAGAGCTTCCATATCCAGTTACAGAGCTTCCATATTGTAATGAAACAGGCAGGTAGTGCGGCTCGAACCCTCAACCTTCTGAACCGAAGGCCAGCGCGCCATCGACTGTGCCACAAAAGCATGCTGAAGTGGCAGAGTCGATATCCACGGTGATAAACCAGGGTTGCTACAATATTCTGTTCAAACGCTTATCTATTCTGCACAGCGATTTAGTCAGGATGGTGGATCAGGCTAATATCCATCTGTCCATACTGACAGCCCAGGCTAATATCCATCTGTCCATACTGACAGCCCAGGCTAATATCCATCTGTCCATACTGACAGCCCAGGCTAATATCCATCTGTCCATACTGACAGCCCAGGCTAATATCCATCTGTCCATACTGACAGTCCAGGCTAATATCCATCTGTCCATACTGACAGTCCAGGCTAATATCCATCTGTCCATACTGACAGCCCAGGCTAATATTTATCTGTCCATACTCACAGCCCAGGCGTATTTGAGACAGCTCAGAGGGCCGCGGGTCAACTCTCCCACGAAGGGTCCAAACGTCCACCCCTGCTGCAGTGACAGAGTCTTGGCAAACACCCCCGCCTCTTCCTCCTCCGCTGACCCCCCAGGCACAGGTCCACTGCCCCACCTCCGTAGGCTGAGGCACGGGGGGATGGAACCCACCGCACGGGCGTCACCGCCCTCCAACCATGGCTCACCGCAGACCACCGTGTCTGGGATGAAGTGAAGCGGTCTGTCGTTACCGTGGCCACCGCCGAAGTTACCATGGCCACCGCCGAAGTTACCATGGCCACCGCCGAAGTTACCATGGCCACTGCCGATGTTGCCTTGACCACTGAAGTTGCCTTGGGAACCATTGTCGTTGATGTAGTGTTGACTCTGCTCTGAACCTGTGTAGAGGTGGAGGGGGAATTAGAATAAGCTGCCTGGACTGTGGCTGGAGGAAAAAGCACACCTGAATTAGGCTGGCAGCAGGACACCTCTGCTCTCTTCTCCCAAATCTCAAATCTAAATATAAAATGAGTAGAATATGAGCAAGCAGACTGCAGTTTCTTTCTCTCTCTTACACACTAGTGATGGGGAACAAATATATATATATATATATATAGAGAGAGATATTATTTGACGATATCGCAATATTATTTTGGACAATATCGCAATATTATTTTTGCGCTGTCAGCTGTGCCTGCACCAAAACTCCAGTATTTTTCCTTCATAGCTTGTTCTCCATATTTTCAAAAATAATGAGCAAATTTGTTTTCAGCACTATTTCCATGACTGATCAAAACTTGTTTTTTCATGGCTCTCTCTTGCCACTTTGCAACAAAATGTAAGCAATATGTTTGTAACATCGAATCGCGATACATATAGAATCGCAATACATATCATATTGGCACCTACAGTTGAAGTCGGAAGTTTACATACACTTAGGTTGGAGTCATTAAAACTCGTTTTTCAACCACTCCACAAATTTCTTGTTAACAAACTATAGTTTTGGCAAGTCGGTTAGGACATCTACTTTGTGTACGACACAAGTCATTTTTCCAACAATTGTTTACAGACAGATTATTTCACTTATAATAGGCTCTATGCACGCATCACTTCCGTATTGGTGTAAGGATGCTTGGGCATTTCACGGTTACCGGAAAAAAAAACATTAGACAGTGACAGTAGACCATTATGATGGCAGATATTACGTTTACAAGGTGTTTGCTGGAGTTGCCTAAAGTATCTGTTAATGATATACGGAGGGTCGTCCGGACATCCAGTACGACACCACGTAGCAAACTGGATAAAGGCTTCAAATTTTACGTTTCTTCTTTTCCTTGCAACTTTGAAGGTAATATGCTAACACTAGCTAGCCTGAGCTAGAAGCCTTGCGTTGGTGTTTTAAAGTCATGACTCCATCCTGCTTCAGGTTAATCATGCTTTAAATAAAGTTTAATCATGTGTATATACCTCTCACTTCATGTGTTTGTACTTTTATGAAAGTATCAGGTAAAAACTGGGCTACAAATGAGATCTCTGTGAGAGCCCACATCTACCGCTCAATGAAGAAACTAAAGCCACCACACCAGCTGAGAGTAGGACTAGATTAAGTGACACTTCAAAGTTCTGTTGAACTTGTTCAAGGTTCCGTTCAACACATGTTTTACTCGTTTAATGTTACCACAGCTTTGATTGCCATTGCTAAGAGAACACTTTAGAACTTTAGTGGTTTTCACGATAGCTGAACAGTGGTAGCCTAATACAGACCAGGGTAGCTGAGTGGGAATTGCCATGCTTTGCTGTTGGGTCTGTTGTAAACAAATTGGAGTTTGGTTTGAAATGTAAACAATAATGAGATTACTACTTTTTCCTGACTTGATGACTGCAATGACAGTAACATATTCCACTCAGCTATTCTTCAAACTGCTGATGTTCTACTCAAAACTGTCCTGTCATCTTTACTTCTTTCTTTATAAACATATAGCCCAACTTCCTTGCTTTTGTACTTGATGTTTCTACTTTTCAAGAGGAATTAGGAGCAAAACCTTCACTCTACTGTTGTTATTGGTACTAGGCTACAATGTTGCACCACTCACCTACTGCTCTGCCAATACTGTTTGAAGGTAGGTAAATGGCACAAGACAATAGGTAAGTGGTGGGAGACAGTATAGCCAAGTGGTGCAAGACAGTAGGAAAGTGATGCAGAAAGCACAAAAGTGACACGAGACAGTAGATAAGTTGCTTACACCAGTAAAAAGTAGAAAGAACAAGTTTTGCTCCTACTCCTGCTGCTGTAGACCCTCGTCTTTCAAAACCCATTAAAATGATGCTTCTGTGTATTTCAGATGACATTGCGTGATTCACAGCCAGTTGTGCTTGTTAAAAGATACTGTTCCTGTGTGGCTGGGTGTGGGATATGCAATCATTTGGTTGCATTACTATATCAGACTGCCCATTACTCTGAATGTGGCATGTCTGTCGTCCCTCCTGTACTTTCGTGCACTGAAACAGAGCAGAAGTGGCATAAATCACGAACAATGGTTTGTATCATTTCAACACCAGACAGTTGTGTCACATGCATACTAGCATCTCTCCTAATCTCCATCTCATAAATAAATAGGGAGTGAAGCCAGGACCTGTGGATGCCATGGTTGTAGTGAAGCCCAAACCAGATGCTACTCCGGCAAGCGGAATTAGGTATGCAGAGTCCAATTAAATAGGCAGACTACAATGTGTTGCGAAATAAACGTTATTAATCATTGAACCATTGAAACAGCACTGGAACAGCTCCCTTCTTCAGACGTCTGCGCCCAGCTGGAGTCGGAGGCTCTATCACATCTTCACTTAGAAAGTGTCGGCTGCAGACTCGTGTGTTTGTTGTAAGAAAGTTGACTCGTTCGAATGTTAATCACCCACCCGTTTATGTAATTCACCGTCTTTGGGAAAAGTAAAAAAAACTAACAGAAGAATTGCATCTGGCAGTCACTGTACATTGCGGCACACAGCAGTGATGGCTGGAAGAGCTGTCATCCCGTTTTTGAAAGGACACTTTCGTACGTTTACACGTCATCGTATTACAAGTAAAAACATTAACATAAACAACGACGAAAATTAACCGTTTCGGATGTTTTTGACGACAAGCATTCAATGCTAGCATACGGTAGCACAGCATTCTACCATAACCGGAAGTTTACATCCATCCTGAGATTTAACCGGAAATACGTCATGCTCGCCTGTGCATATCGCCTATTCACTGTATCACAATTCCAGTGGGTCAGAAGTTTACATACACTAAGTTGACTGCGCCTTTAAACAGCTTGGGAAATTCCAGAAAATGAGGTAATGGCTTTAGAAGCTTCTGATAGGCTAATTGACATAATTTGAGTCAATTGGAGGTGTACCTGTAGATGTATTTCAAGGCCTACCTTCAAACTCAGTGCCTCTTTGCTTGACATCATGGGAAAATCAAAAGAAATCAGCCAAGACCTCAGAAAAAAAAAAAAATTGACCTCCACAAGTCTGGTTCATCCTTGGGAGCAATTTCCAAACGCCTGAAGGTACCACGTTCATCTGTACAAACAATAGTACGCAAGTATAAACACCATGGGACCACGCAGCCATCATACCGCTCAGGAAGGAGACGTGTTCCGTCTCCTAGAGATGAACGTACTTTGATGCGAAAAGTGCAAATCAATCCGAGAACAACAGCAAAGGACCTTGTGAAGATGCTGGAGGAAACAGGTACAAAAGTATCTATATCCACAGTAAAACAAGTCCTATTTCAACATAACCTGAAAGGCCGCTCAGCAAGGAAGAAGCCACTGCTCCAAAACCGCCATAAAAAAGCCAGACTACGGTTTGCAACTGCACATGGGGACAAAGATCGTACTTTTTGGAGAAATGTCCTCTGGTCTGATGAAACAAAAATAGAACTGTTTGGCCATAATGACTATCGTTATGTTTGGAGGAAAAAGGGGGTCACTTGTAAGCCGAAGAACACCATCCCAACCGTGAAGCACGAGGGTGGCAGCATCATGCTGTGGGGGTGCTTTGCTGCAAGAGGGTCTGGTGCACTTCACAACATAGATGGCATCATGAGGAAGGACAATTATGTGGATATATTGAAGCAACATCTCAAGACATCATTCAGCAAGTTAAAGCTTGGTCGCAAATGGGTCTTCCAAATGGACAATGACCCCAAGCATACTTCCAAAGTTGTGACAAAATGGCTTAAGGACAACAAAGTCAAGGTATTGGAGTGGCCATCACAAAGCCCTGACCTCAATCCTATAGAAAATGTGTGGGCAGAACTGAAAAAGCTTGTGCGAGCAAGGAGGCCTACAAACCTGACTCAGTTACACCAGCTCTGTCAGGAGGAATGGGCCAAAATTCACCCAATTTATTGTGGGAAGCTTGTGGAAGGCTACCCGAAACGTTTGACCCAAGTTAAACAATTTAAAGGCAATGCTACCAAATACTAATTGAGTGTATGTAAACTTCTGACCCACTGGGAATGTGATGAAAGAAATAAAAGCTGAAATAAATCACTCTACTATTATTCTGACATGTCACATTCTTAAAATAAAGTGGTGATCCTAACTGACCTAAGACAGGGAATTTTTCCTAGGATTAAATGTCAGGAATTGTGAAAAACTGAGTTTAAATGTATTTGGCTAAGGCGTATGTAAACTTCCGACTTTCAACTGTACATATGGTGATTATATCGTATGGCGAGGTCCCTGTCAATTCCAAGCCCTAACACACACACACACATCCTGTGCAAATAACTTGCCTATTACACACCTGATGTCTCTGATGATTGATGCATGGAGGCTCCAACACCACCATACATGAGTTGATAAAACACAGCAGGGTGGTGAACCCTTAAATGTGATCTCAGGTTGGTCGGGCTCCCAGTTTTGCACGGAACTATCCTTCGGCACAACCGACACACGGCCTCCTCCTTATTTTCAGGCTCCCCTTTATCGTTTGGTTTTACACCAAAATGAACCCAGACTGTAGATGTAGCTCTCTTCTTTGAGACTAGATCCATCGTTCAATGGCTCTTCAAATTTGCTAGTTAGCACAGTGAAATAGGTTTACCTGGGTGCCACGATATAGCCTAAAGATCAGGCCTAACGATGATGAAATCCTAATCGGTTATCGATTTACACACAATAGTTACCAATATAGAATGTTTACAGAATATACCGCGTCTGTATATTTTACTTAATTGCCAACAAATTCAGCAATATATCTGACGAACAACATGTTAATGTGTCCGATATCAGTGACCCTTGATGGCGATATCCGATACTTCTTTCTCATCGAGGAGGACAGAGTTTGACTGACATTGCTGGTTGACCAATCACATTCAGGCGTTTTGGTGCGTTAGCAAATCATCTTCGAGTATTGAGTTGTATATAATGCACATCATGTATGGCAGCGAGTGAAAGTGAGAGAGAAAAATCGACAATAATATGTCTTGAAAAAAAGCACAAAAGCATAGGCTACAATTCTAAAAACGTTTGACTGTAGGCTACATTCAATCTCAAATGCAAATGATTTGCAGCAGCGCAGACTCACCTGATGGCTCAAAATAGTACCCATGCCCAGACGTTGCCGATATAAACTCAGAAAATATATCAGGATGTCGTAGTCGCAGGTGATGTCTTAGATTGCTCGTGTTTCCACCTTTGACAAAAACAATCCTCCGGCATAACCGGCAAACCGCCTCATCAATATTCTGAGGCTCTCCTTTCTCGTTTGGCTTAAAACCAAAATGCACCCAAATTGCGGATTTGACTTTGGGTTTAGAGACAAGATCCATTCTCACGACCGACCATTATAATCTACGAGTAGAAGTAGCCTACACTCGGTCGAGGGCTGGTCTTTCTATCTGGGTGCGCTTGTTCTGCTGACCGCCCAGTAGCCTACCCCGGCGTAGCGTGCGTGCACTCGATATACCGGGCTCAACCTCGCAACAGACACCAAATGTGCAGTTCTTTTTAAAAAAGTGAGAAAAATATTTATTCAAGTATTTAAATATCTAGTACTAAGGATGGGCTGCATGGAAATGTAGGAAGACAACTCTACAAAGATTGTTGCGGTATACCACTGGCCTATGCAAAATGCACAGCATGGCAGCGAGTGAAAGTGAGAGAAAAGAAATCGACACTGGGTAGTCATCGGGAAAACACATCGTAGCCTACAGTTCTAAAAACGTTAGGAATTCAAACTTTGAATGTAGATTTCAATGCCAGTGCAAATGACTTGCAGCATAGCAGACTCACCTAATGGCTCAGAGAAGTAGTATCCATAACCAGACGTTGCCGATATAAACTCAGAAAAAACAGTAGGGTGTTTTAGTCTCAGATGATGTTTTAGATTGCTCGTGTTTCCACTTTTGGCACAAACAATCCTCCGGCATAACCTGCAAACTGCCTCATCAAGATTATGAGGCTCTCCTTTACCGTTTGGCTTAAAACCAAAATGCGCCCAAACTGCAGCTTTGACTTTGGGTTTAGAGACAAGACCCATTCTCACGACTGACCATAGCCTATATATAATAATAAATAGGCAATAGTCCGCACGCTTCCCAGCCGAAACAGTTCGGAAGAGTGGTGCATATATTATGACGACATTTTGTGACGTTTTGGACTTCGGCGAAGGTTTCTTTCGGCTATTCGGGCACACAACATTTTTTCTGGAGACAAGCGGAAGTTCAGAGCCGAAGGCTATGTACGCCCCTTCCTCGGTGATTGGTCAACAGTAGGGACTCGTCAATCAAGTATTTGTTTTCGTTTAACGAGAGACGACTCGTTTCACTCACTTTTGTTCATTGAAAAATACTGCACCATACATCTTAGTTAGATGTAAAATTGCGCGACTAAGATCTCTTCGACAAAAACATCAAAATGAATGACACATTTCTTGAGTTATCTTAGATTAATTTCTGACTATTTTGAGGAAGTACTGGCTACGGCGTCGCAAAATGGACAAACAGTACTATTGCCGCTTTTTTATCGGTTTTCAAGCGAAGACATTTTAAGAGAGTATGCCAGCGCATTCCTTCTGTTCGGCTAGCCGAGTTTGGCTAAGCGCCAGCCGAACTGAAGCATGCTGAGGCCTTTATTGTTAGCATACGCTCTGTGTGGATGCGCTTAAAGGTGTAATTCACCCAAATTACAAAATGACATATTGGTTTCCTTACCCTTTAAGCGTTCTATGGACAAAGTATGACAGCAATCTTTGGTTTAGTTTATCTGGCACCGTTTCCAAATGCTAACGTTTTAGCATTTGTGTCCACAATCCCATTCAAGACTTTGTGGTATAAATCCAAAAGTATCAAAATTGATTGTGAAACACAACAAAGTCACTTGTAGATGATTTGAACATCATGCGCGAAAAATGCTAATATTGGTACAATGACTTGAATGGGATTTTTGTCCCACAAATGCTAAAACTTTAGCATTCGGAAACAGCGCCAGCCACTGCCAGGGAAACTAAAGCAAAGCATTGATTGCTGCCATAGCTTGTACATAGATTGCTTACAGGGTAAGGAAACCAATGAGTTATTTTGTAATATGGGTGAACTATCCCTTTAAATCCATGCGCTGCAGGAGGGTGTGGGTGGAGTTACACAGCCTACCATGTTTTGAAAGTCGGGTATGTTTTTCACAGTCTAGAAGGATGCTAAATCAAACTGAACATGCATTCTTTATTGGCTTCCAAAGGAAAGCATGAATTTAATCCATATGCTTTGGCCAGTGGTTGTGTCTTATTCACTGATGATAATTACATTTTAGTCATTTAGCAGACACTCTTATCCAGTGCAACTTACAGTAGTGAGAGCATTCATTTTCATGCTGATCCCAAATGGGAAGCAAACCCACAACCCTGGCTTTGCAAGCTCTATGCTCTACCAACTGAGCTATACGGGACCTAATGTAACCTATGTTTTTAGCGCATGCTTATACATAAGAAGATACATTACATGACCAACAGTATGTGGACACCTGCTCGTTGAACATCTCATTCCAAAATCATGGGCATTAATATGGAGTTGGTCCCCCCTTTGCTGCTATAACAGCCTCCACTCTTCTGGGAAGGCTTTCTGCTAGATGTTGGAACATTGCTGCGGGGACTTGCTGTGGCTTCCATTGAGCCACAAGAGCATTAGTGAGATCGGGCATTGATGTTGGACGATTAGGCCTGGGTCGCAGTCAGCGTTCCAATTCATCCCAAAGGTGTTTGATGGGGTTGAGGTCAGGGCTCTGTGCAGGCCAGGCAAGTTCTTCCACACCGATCTCGACAAACCATTTCTGTATGGACCTCGCTTTGTGCATGGGGGCATTGTCATGCTGAAACAGGAAAGGACCTACCCCAAACTGGCATTGCACATGGTAATCTTAGGCTTGTGTGCGGCTGCTCGGCCATGGAAACCCATTTCATGATATTCCCAACGATAGGTTATTGTGCTGACGTTGCTTCCAGAGGCAATTTGAACTCTGTAGTGAGTGTTGCAACTGAGGACAGACGATTTTTACGCATTATGCGCTTCAGCACTCGGCGGTCCTGTTCTGTGTGGCCTACTACTTCAACAACGTAAAAATACCTTACATTTCTTCCAAAAATAATACGAATTGTTATTGTTAGATTAATAATTTGATTAATTAGATTAAACAAAGATATATAGGCCTACTCAATAACATACAAATAACTATTCTAGTGGTGACTCAAATCTGTAGCCTATAGTATGGTGAGTAGCCTAGATAGCTAATTTAGAAACAATGGAAATCGACAACTGTGTCTCTGGCTCTGTCTTTATCCATTTCTTTCTTGGAAGAATTTTCCTATCCTAGAGTCTGAGACATTGTGGGAATCTGTGGTAGAGAAGAATAATATGACAATTTAGCATAGACACTATACATTACCCCTGGTTACCGTCATCATGATTTCTATAGTTTAGGCATATAGCTAGCTAGGCATAGCTAGTTGTTGTGTTACCCAGCTAGCAATAATAGTGCTTGTGTTGACATAAGTAGCTAGATAGCTAGCTAGCTACCTTTAACATGCTGGATGTCTCACAAAAAATACCCTTGGGCTATGGATACCCTGAGAACAATGTTCAGGGAAGATAAGACCATCGAGCCCAGCTAATGTTAGCTAGCTAGTTAGCTCGCAAGTAGCGACCATAGTATTTTTGCCAGCTTTAGGTAGCTAGCTAGCTAATCAAGGTTAGAAAAACTAGTTAGCTAGCGTGCTAGCTAATCCCCAAAAACATCAACAGATTGCATGGAAAGTATATTCTGTAGATGGTAACTAGCTAGCTAGCTAGCCTACTTTGTAGGCCCAACAACAAAGCCAGTTAATGTTTGCTAGCTAGCTAGCTAACTAGCTAGCTACAGTTAGCTAACATTAGCTAGCCAACACTATATTAGCATTGACATGAAATCAGTCAGAATACCTAAAAAAAAAGACATGCTATAGTAAACTTAACATTTGTAACAAGCATTGTAACAAGAAGGGCTGTGGCGGTCATTAAATTTCGTCAGCCGGTGACTGTCAAGCAAATAACTTGATGCAAGTCTCACAGTAATTGACCGTTAATTAACATAAACACATTTAGCATCTCCTGGCTTCCACGTATAGCCTACAAGCCACTGATGCAGACCTTTGGAACATATACATAAAAAAATATATATAATAAATCCATGTAATATAGCCTACACCATCACAATAAATCCATTATTTATTTTAGACAGGTCTGAAGAAACATGATATGAAGAAAATGTAGTCTATTTCAGAAGAACAGAATAGCATACTCTGAGTTGTCCTTATGTTAGGCCCTGATCTGGCTATGCCATATGGCTGTGGGCTACACTAGTTCATTTAGCAGACAAGATTTGCTTAGAATTCCGTGGCATTATTTTATACTATTTTATAGTATGAAGAATACAATTGAACATAGCTGAATAAAATATAAATCATATTTTCTCCAAACGATTTGAGGGAGTGCACACATGCGTTTATTCTGTGTTGAGCGGTTAA